TCTGGACTTGTTCCAACAGTTCCATGTCCTTTTTATGCTGAGGACACCAGAACTGCACACAATACTCCAGGTGAGGTCTCCTGAGAGCAGAGTAGAGGGGCAAGATCATGTCCTTTGACCTGCTGGTCACGCTCCTTTTGATGCAGCCCAGTACACCGTTGGCGCTCTGGGCTGTGAGCGCAGCAGCCCAGCTGAAGCTGGCTCATGTTCATTTTCTCATTGACCAGCACCCCCAAGTCCTCCTCCGCAGGGCTGCTCTGAATCTCTTCTTTGCCCAACCTGTAGCTGTGCCTGGGATTGCTCTGACCCAGGTGTAGGACCTTGCACTTGTCATGGTTAAACTTCATGAGGTTGGCATTATCCCACCTCACAAGTGTGTTGAGGTCCCTCTGGATGGCATTCGTTCCCTCCAGCGTATCAACCGAACCACATAGCTTGGTGTCATCGGCAAACTTGCTGAGGGCGCGCTCAATCCCACTGTCCATGTCAGCGATGAAGATGTTGAACAAGACCGGTCCCAGCACAGATCCCTGAGGGACACCGCTCATTACTGGTCTCCAGCCGGATATTGAGCCATTGAGTGTCCTAGTTGTTCCTGTTCAATGTACAGCATGGAATGGGTTTGGAGCACACAAACTCGTTTCCTTTTCTGGTAAATTGAAAGATACAATCTCAGTGTTACTGAGCATTCAGTTCACTGGACTAGAGCAGAGCGACTCTGAAACATTAGAAATAATGTCTTCTTCCCTCCCTAAAAGTAAGTAGTGCCAACATCAGGTCCTCAGTACTGAATTTTGGTGAGTAGATGGAGATTATGCTGAAACAGGTTGTCCCCTTGCAGCCCATGGAGGGCCACAGCGGAGCAGGTATCCGCACTGCAGCCTGTGGGGGGCTGTAGCAGGTGGACATGTCCTGAAGGAAGCTGCAGCCCATGGAGTGCCTGTGCTTGGGCAGTGTTTACCTAAAGGATCGTAGCCCATGAAGAGGACCTATGGTGGGGCAAGGAAGAAGTGTGAGATGCTATTATGGACTGACCATAACCTGCCATTCCCCATCTTCACCAGAAGTTTATCACCAGCAGAGTTGCCAGGCACTGGAACAGGCTGCTCTGAAAAGTAGCTGAGTCATCATCCCTGCAGCTGTTTCAAAGACATGTAGACACATGGTGCTTAGGGAGATGGTTTAGGGGTGGGCTTGGAAGTGTCAGGTTAATGGTTAGACTCAATGATCTTAATGTACCTTTCCACACCAAATTATTCTATGATGCTGTCTCCCCTTGGGGAGAAGCAGGGAGGTGGAGGAGTTCGGAATAAAGGAGTGAAGTTGTGTGTGGGAAGAAAGGGGAGCATAGGGAGAAGGTGGTTTGGTTCTTGTCTTTCTCACCTTTTTTTCTTCTTTTTTTTATGTTTTCCTTTAAATTGGCTGTAAGTTTAATTTCCCCAGCTCAAGTCTGTTTTACTTGTAATGGCAGTTGGTCATCTCGCTTCGTCTTGACCTACAAGCTCTTTCATTTTACTTTCACTCTCCACCCTATTGAAAAATGAGAATGAGAGAGTGGCTAGGTGGGTGGGTGTCTGGCAGCTAGCCAGCCAAGGCCAGCGCACCATACTGTGTGCCTAAAATACGTATTTCAACTTAAAGAAGGTTGAAAGAATTTTTATTATTTTTTTTAACATCAAGTAGTTAATTTTTTTTTTATATTAGGAACATGGGTAAGAATTTAGCTATCGCATTTTGTGAGCCAGTAGTAGCGCCTTGTTTAGCAGATGAAATTAAAACGCTTTTAGTCCACTCTCACTAGAGGCATACAAATCTACTTCTCCCTTCAGATCTCTAGTGTGGTGGCTGAGTGTTCTGTAACAGGATTATTTGCCTGCTAGTGCCTTGCAATGCTTTGTCACGCCAGCAGTGTTGAGCAGTACCATGAAGAGCAGGACTGGGAAACTGATCCAGATGAGTATTCTTCCTCCTGGTTGTTTTCCAGCTGAGTATCTTTCTTGATCCAGTTTACATCTCAACTCTGCAAAAACCTTTTGCTGGCATAATGGAAAGGATGGAGCAGCATGGGCAGGTGAGGTATGGACTGAAGTGGGTGTTGCTGCTGGAATTGTGTCAGGGAATGGATGAAGAAAGGCTCTATGTTTAGATGGTGTTTAGAGGTCTGTGAGGTAGAGATGTGACTCTTCAATCAGAGACTCCAAATAGAGACATATACTTGTTCTCTTTTTAAATTCCAGATGCTATGGGCTGTGAAATGACTTTTGAGTCAAATACTTCCCCCCCCCCCCTTGATCTTTCCTAATGATTTTTTTTCTGAGTTTTTCTACAGCAACTTTTGCTTCCCTGAATAGAAATGTTTAGTTTTTATTTAAATTTACATAACAGGAAAGATAGCTTTCTCCTTGATATTAACCCTCCACGTTGAGAAGGTGGTCATTGATGGAGTTGTGTGTGGGAGAAGATGTATGGCTGATTTCCAAGTTCTTGTTTTGTAGAGAAAAAAAAAAAAAAAACAAAACATTTTTAGTTGTTACCAGGCAACAAATACTCTTTAAATGTAGGAGATCAGTTAGAAAGAACAATTATGCTGCAAGAGGTGTGTTGCCTGGCACTCGAAGTTGCAAATAACAGTACAAGTTATAGGACTTGCTTGTGCCAGACCTTCAGAATTTCAGCACAGACTTTGTGGTCAAGGTATGGATGCCACCTTATTCATGAACTGCTCCAGGAATTAGAGTGTCATCTAGTACAATGTCAGCAGTTTCAGGCTTTTTGTTGCCACTAAAGGCTATATTTGATGCCTTGAAGGGCTGCTCAGGTCTCTGCAGTACTATGTGCAGTCTTTGCTCCAAACATGTTGCTTTTTCCAGCCATACCTAAGTATTTATTTCAGTGCTCATGCATCAGGATTTTTTTTTTTAATCATGTGGCCAGAAATCTTCCTAAATACATTTGTAATCAAGGCTGGAAGAGGGTGTGTAATGGGAAGCCTTCTTGGTTAGGAGAGATGAACACAAAGTTATTTTGTTGGCATTCAGAGAGACCTTGACAAGCTGGAGAAACGGGCCAACAGTAATCTCCTGTAATTCAACAGAGAGAAAGGCAGAGTCCTGCACAAGTGCAAGCTGGGGACAGCTGCCTGGAAAGCAGCTTTGCCAGAAAGGACCTGGGGGTTCCAATGGACAGCCAAGTAACCATGAGCCAGCAATGTGCCCTTGTGGCAGTGAAGGCCAGTGGTATCTTGGGCTGCGCTGGAAGTGTTGGCAGTTGGTTGAGGGAAATAATCCTTCTATTTAGCACTGGTGAGACCACACCTAGAGTACTGGATCCAGTTCTGCACTCTTCAGTGAGAGAGAGACATGGACATACTAAGTATGTCAAGTGAAGGGCTGCAAATGTATTTTAATAGATCTTAAGGCATCTGGTATGAAGAGAGGCTGAGGGATCTGGTGATGTTTAGCCTGGAGAAAAGAAGGCTTGGGGCAAGGGAATCTTAAGGGTGCATATGAATACCAGATGGAGGTGATAAAGAGGACAGAGCCAGGTGCTTTTCAGTGGTGTCAGGTGATAGGACAAGAGGCAATAGGTGCAAATAGAAAAATACAGTAACTTCCACTTAAGCATAAGAAGAAAGATTTTTTGCTATAGGGATGATTGAACACTGGAACTGTGTTGTGGAATCTGTGTTCTTGGAGGTGCTCAGAACCTGTCTGGTTATGGTCCTGAGCAGCTGACTCTGCTGACTCAGTTTACCCAGCTCTGAGCAGTGGTGGTTGGAGTAGATAATTTCCAGAGGTTACTTCCAACCTCAGCTATCATATGATTCTGTGAAATGATCAGACAAGAAGGCATTTCCTTCAGTTTTACCTCTCCAGCTGTTGATTATTCTTCACTGCAGGTGACTCAGCTGTTGGACACAAGTGACTAATAGGTTTATAGTGAATTTAGCAGTCATTTCCAAAAGCATCCCTTCTGGAGAGGGCAAAACCTGTTCTTTTTCCTCAGTAATTTCAGTGTGATCTGGGTTTTTTTGGCTGTATTTCTGGTGTGGGTTTTGTTGTGTTTTCTTTTTTGTAAGGGTGAGTGACTGGGAAAAATCTGTTGTTATTCTAACCTTCTAGTGCTCATTTTTGTCTTGTGCTGCAGACTCGTTGCCAGTGCTTCTCTCTTCTATTGCTCTTTTTTAATCTTTTTCCCCAAACAGCAGCAGATTTTGATATTTTATTTTATTTTTTAATAAACTTGTGGCTATTCACTATGTTCAGAATGCGTGGTTGGAAACAGCGACTGATCACTTTCACTGCTGTAGCTTGGCAAAGCTGTAGGAGTAAGTATTGAGAACTCGGTTTTTGTGGAAGACTGTGTAGAGCACATTGTGGTGGGTTACATCTGTCTGTGGCACGTTCTTTTTGGAAAAGTCAATATATGAAGCAGTATAATAATAAAAAATGGTAACATTTTCAGGAAGCTGATGGCATCTATCCTGGAGAGCTAAATTCTTTCCTATATAAAAAAGAATAGAGATAAGTGCTTATCTTTTGCATTGTACAAAGTGTGTAAGTCAAACCAGTGATTTTCAAACTGCTGCACACAGTTAAGCACAACAGACTTTGTGGTAAAAGGTGTGTTGACAGTCTTAATCCAGAGTGAAAATTCCAGATCGCCTGTGTATTTTGGTATGTGTTTCTGACTCTTTAGCTTGTTGTTAAAAGATTTCTCGTTTTCTTTCTCTGATTTGTATAGATGGAAGAAAACAAACACAGTCTCCTTGGCTTTTGTTGCTGAGAAAAGAGAACATTTCAGGAACAGACTGAACTGGAGATAGGATGCAGAGTTCATTGTCATTTCCCCTCTGTTGTGTAGGCTGATGGGGTATCGCTAGCAGCCTTTCTCTCTTAACTTTTTAGCATATGATTACAAATTACAAAGGTGCACAAGAGAAATCTGTGTATTGCTATAGCAGAGTTGTTAATCTCTTGTTTCTCTTTTCCTCCCCACAGGAATCAAGCATGATGGGACTATGTGTGATACTTGTCGACAACAACCCATCATTGGCATCCGATGGAAATGTGCTGAATGCACAAATTATGATTTGTGTACGGTTTGCTATCACGGGGACAAACATCACTTGAGGCATCGTTTTTACAGAATTACCACACCAGGAAGTGAAAGGTAAAAGATAATTTTTCCCCCCCATGAAATTAAATAAGAACACTTAATTGTGGTTAGTATTAAACTGCAGATTTTGTTACTGAAATTTGGTTTAGGTAAGATAGTGGCTTGAAGTGTAGATTCTGTTACTGGCTCTGCCTCTTTGTGAGGGAGGGTAGCTAGGACAGATCTTCGTAGCTTGGAAAACACAGAAATTATTAGAAGAATGGAGTAAAGAAAAAAGGATATGATTATTCAGTTTCTTTGATCTCATTGTAGTCATCCTAGTTCTTGTGTTATCACATAGCAGCTTTAAAACAAAGGCAGTTATCTTTACACAATGTATAATCACAAAATGATATGTCAATGAATTCCTGAATATGAAAGCTTAATTAGGCTCAAAAAATGATGTAGACAGATTGAGGGAAAATAACCTGTGGGCTATGAAAAACAGAATGATCTGGAGGCAAAACCTTTGACTTGAATTGCTTAAACTGCACACTGCAGAAAGCAGAGAAAAGATGCTATGCAGGTTGTTCTACCCTTGCCTGGGTTTTCATGTTCTTTGTAAGCATCTATGCTTGTCTCCCAGCAAAGAACTGAACAGAACGGTCTTTTAGTTTGCCCTTGCGTAGCTGTTCTTGTGTTCTTGGCTTTAAATAACTTGTCTAAATCCGTAGCCCTTTTCTGTCAAGGTTTATCAACCAATTAAGTGAGAACAGTAATACTTGCCTGTTGCTAAATGCTTGGAGAACTGCGATAAAACATTGTGTAAAGGTATATGCTGTGCTGTCACCTCTGTGATGACTCTCCAGAAAGTTCTTTCATAAAATTATTGGAAGCTTTTTTATTAGATATGATAGTCAGTTAAATGTGTGTAGGACATTTATTTCCTCTTCTTGGAGAAGTAAGGTTTACAAATATGTTGTAATTCAGTGATGTGCTTTATCAGTGCTTTTACAGTAAAGGGAAGTGGTTGGAACACACAAACTGTTCTCATATGGTGTTTTGTAGGGACTGTGTTTATTTTCTCAAATGTTTATCTTGAAGTTTAACTATGGCTCAAATGCCCAGGTCAGTGGCTTTATCAAAAATTAGCTTCTGTTTTTTTTGAGATTGATACCAGCAGATCTAGGTACCAAATAGATATAATAAGCTTAGAGTCTCAATTATAAAGTTTAGTGCAGGACAAGACTTAGAAGTTGGATCCAAGAGTAGAAAGTGCTGGCTTAGTGTAATTAAGTTGTCTGTTACGGTATAGAAAGATAAGCTTTATTTTTGGAGGTAGACTGTACGGAAGGTATAGAATTGCAGGAAATCTTTTGTGTCTTGTCACTTTCTCCCATGAGCTCCGTTTTGCAACTCTTTGTCGGGATGGCAGCTTCATCTGCCAAGTAACTGTTTCTACTGGAGCAAGCTTAGCTGAGAGAAGATGGTTGAAGTTAACTGAGGTAGGAGAAAAGGGCAAAGCAATGCTATCGAAGTTGAGGAATATTTCAAAATAGGAAAAATGGCAAGAGGCATCTAAGGACATTTCGATGAAGGAAAGTAGAAGCTCTGTGTACTCTATTCTTGAGCCTGGGATATCATACAGGTAGCATGTGAAAGTAATGCATGCTGTTTTTTCTCTCAGTTTTGTAGGTGTTGAGGACTTTCTAAAATACTTATATAAACAGAGGATCTTTCTGTTTCCTATCACGCTTTCATATTACTTGGATAAAAACGGCAAATATTTTCATGTGCTCTTTGCATTGATTGTAGTAAATTTTTTTTCCTTGTCTGCCATCTGCTGGATGCTAAAAGCTTAGCAGGAGGGCGATACACTTCTGGAAGAGGTCGGGAATCTTTCAGAATTTCAGATGGAAAAATACTTTTGTCAGGCAGCATTTTCCTGGCATGAAGTAGGAAATCTAGTTGCATGCAAACTGGTAGCTTTTGAGATGGCTGAAAAGGCAGGAAAATGTCTCTTTGTTGCTATTTGTAAGTTAAACACTCATGAATTATTTCGTTTGGGATTATCTGCTTAAATTCTGTGGAAATCAGGGGGAAAGAGGTTTGCTTTAGAAAAATGACATATTATGACTGAAAAAAGAGGCTCCAAGATACTGAATAAAATTTGCCAAGATATGCTATGAGTATATAGAAAATAGATTGAGGCATGGAGGGGAAACAGGTGTAAAAGTGTCAGTGCAATTGCAGGAGGGTAATACTGGCCTAGGGTGCATGTAAGAGAAACAGAAGTGTGTTGTTTATATGACTCTCTAGGTTTCTTTAATGATTTTAATAATGAGTATAGATCTATATGTAAGTGGTTACAAGACTATTACTGGTAGTAGGAAGTTTGGAGAAAAAAAAATCATTAGAATTAAAAACTAATTATAAACATACAGTAAATGAGATTTAGGAAGATTGTGACTTTATCTTGTGGGCTGCTGTTCAAGTTGAGAATCAAATGAATGTGATTCACTGATTGAAGTCTGTGGGTTTGTTTGGTTTTTTTTTTTTGTTTCAAGATGCTCTTCTTTCTTCCTGTCCCCAAAGATTCGTTTTGGACTTTTTTTTTTTTGTTATCTTGACACTTGTGGGTTCTTCTTTTAATAACTTCAGGGTATTGTTGGAGTCTCGCCGTAAATCAAAGAAAATTACAGCAAGAGGAATCTTTGCAGGTGCCAGAGTGGTGCGAGGAGTTGACTGGCAATGGGAAGATCAAGATGGTGGCAATGGGCGTAGAGGAAAGGTAAAATTAAAACTGGTTTAAATAAGAAGATGCATTTCTGCATGCTCATGTAATGGTCTCAGTGGCCTTTCTAATTGTAGAGTAAAAATATAAGCATTAAAGTTAATATTTTAATTTGCTGGGCATTTTTTAATCATCTTCTGTAATGCTCAAGTCTTTAGAAAGAAGAGGGGAAGTATACTGTGACTGGGTCTTTTAAATTTCAATGTACCTTTTTTACAATGCCAGCACAAAATTTTTCAGACTACTAAATTTTCATCTTGGTGGTTTTGCTAAGGGTGGTTTGTAATAACATTAAGATCTTTGGCATATTTCAGCATTAATAGAGAGCTAGTATAGAAATATAACTGTCAAGAATATCCCTTTCTGGTCATCACCGCATTCTGTAGTCTTGTTGCTCGTGGGTCAGGACATTTGTATAACTCTTGCTCTTGGTTTTCAATGTTTGCACCATAGATTTTGGAGGGTTTTTTTTAATATAATAATCATATGGACTTTTCTAGTTTAAATCAAAAGTTCTGCGCGTGTTGGATATGGGTATTAGATTACTGGCTTATGACATTATATGACTGGTTTTAATGTAGTTGTATAACAAAGTGTTTGGATTTATTGAATATTGCATGGAATGATAGGTTGCTAATCATGATCTTTGCAAATTTTCCATTTACAACTTACACTGAGAACTAATGAAGGTTTATTACAAGTATGAACATACAGCAGGAAGTGTAAAATATACTATGACTTTTATTACCAAATATGAGATGTTCTAGGTGAATTGGATGCACTTGTATCTTGGTGAACTAGTGGGTTTTGTTGCATTTTGTTTTAGAACACTTAAGCAGCATTTAAAAGGTCAGAAGTTCCTGGATAAGATACTTAGCCTATTTTATAGCCTAGATATTTACAGAAGCTTTAGGACTTTTGGGGATTTCATTTTGGATTTTATTAAGAGGAAATACTAAATTTAGATTTCTTAGAGCAAAGGCCCTTTACAGGCAGCTTTTGTTCCATCTTGATTATTTACCCCTTGCTTGTGCCCTTGAATTGGGCAAGATATTTTGAGATCTGTGAAACTTTGCAGAATGAGTCTTATACTTCATTGTCTGATTTTTGTACTGAACTTGAATTAGTGGGATTGTTTGCAAGCTGAAAATTATATATAAGGCATATAAATGTTTGCAAAGAGGAGAAGCAGATAGTAAATAACTGGAAAAGATTTAAAATAAATACAGATAAGAATGAAGGCAAATTCTGGAAATGCATTTTCTTTTTAATAATGAAATTTTTTCGTGATTTGGTGCATGGCTTTATGATAACAGAAATGTCAGGGAAAGTCCTTTTCACTCTGCTTTTGTACTGTTGAACAGGTTGGCTCTGGAAATAAAACATTGTCTTCTAATGTAGCGCACCACCATCAGGCTAATGCAGGTTAAACTAGGTAAATTGAAGCAATTAAAATAGTTTTTGTCCTGGTTTTTGTAGTTAAATGCTGCTTCTAATAAGAAGCATCATAAAATAAATTTTTACAGTTCATATTTTGTTTTCTATTTATGGAGTTAGATGGCCTACCAAATATACAAGAGAGAAATAGGCCTATAAAGTACCTATACAGGCTGCCATCTTCTTAAGATGGGAACGCTCGTATCAAACAGAAACCAGCTTCAGAATAAATTGTATTAAACTCACTGGAACTGCTGTATCCTGAAGTATTCTGGAGAGATGAATGAGGTTTTAAGTCCAAATTGAGTTTCTAAGTCTTTGTTCTACAAGCAATTTTCTTATTTTTAAAACTGAATAGGTAACTGAAATCCAAGATTGGAGTGCGTCAAGCCCGCATAGCGCAGCATATGTTCTTTGGGACAATGGAGCTAAAAACCTTTACAGAGTTGGCTTTGAGGGCATGGTAAGTATAAAAGAACACAAAGGGTAAAATGCATGGTGGGGGAAGGGAAGTAAGGATAACTCATTGTGCTTTATTATCCTGCTTTTGTAATATCCTTTGTCAGTTTGCATGCTATTAGTCAGGTCATTGTGAATACAGCTGTATGGATCATGCATATGTATTAGTAAGAAAGTCTGATCTGGGAATTTATAAGACCTGTGAGTAACTTCAAGTTAAGGGCTGCTTTTTGCCAGTGTGGTAAATGTTTATGTTGCATGCATGATTATCTTACTGTGCTACTGTTGCGCTTAAAACTCAGAAAAGAAGGTTAGTTATGAAGTCTTTAAAGACCCTATTTGTTTAACTCCTGAACTCTTCATTTCAGGTCAAAATTTGGTGTGATTACTGCAGTATTTTAAATTACTTGCAACACTCAGAACCCCCTTGAGAGCATTTTTGTTTCGTCAGTGGAAAGGTGTTGAATTAAGTTACAATCTTGATTTGTTTTAGCACTATATTTTTCACTTCCTAGCTTCTACAGCTTCTTCTGCAGCTTTAGAGAGAAAATGGGTGAGACTGCAGCTTAAGTGCCTTCTGTTGCTGGGTTTTCTTATCCTAATGTGGGTCAGGGAAGGGTTACTTTGATTATCAACTGCTTTACAACATCTTAATTAGCATTTCTTTGCATGATTTTTGTTTGATTTTGCAGAGGAAAATCATGTTAACATTGAAGTGTCATCTTGTCTGATGTGTATAGTAAAAAAATGTTAAACAATGGCTAGTCAGCTTACTGTGCCTTGTAGCCTTACTTGAAATAGAGTTTATTTTTATAGTAAAAATAAATACTAAATATCACTTTTGCAGTAAATACATATTTTAGCATCAGGTTTAAAAAAACCAGACATCTTTAGTGCAGGTCAGCTTTTCTGATGAGTGAAGATGCTAATGATAAGATATAAGTCAATATTGAATTACGTGCTTCATGGCCTCCTTCTCCCCTCTGAGTTCTGAAGAAAATTCTCTAAATACTGGCAAAAGGGAAAGAAAGTTACATATAGTATTTTGTAGTGTAATATGATTAAACCAGTTGTTGGTATCTTCTGCCTTGTATTTGGCTGTGAGGCATGGAAAAGGAACACGATTACAAAATGTAGATAGAATAAGATACAGATTGTCTTTTTGTTACTGTAATTTCAGTTACTGTGTTAAAATGTGTGGGCTGCATAAGTAGGAGTGCCGTGGAATCATTAAAGATTCCTTCTGGCCTCAGGAAAAAATATGTTTAAGATAAGTTAAATTCTGTTCTGAATATATATTCCCATAATAAGAAAAAATATATTTATTATTTGTAAATCCAACAATATTCTGTTGCCAAACTTGCCACACAAGGAAGTGTTAAACATTTCTAGACTGCTTGATTTATTTCTGAAGCTGTAAATTTCAATAGATAAGTGTGGTTCTTCCCACAAGACTCGGACAAACAGAAATATTAGGTCAATCATTTAGTTAACAACAAAAAATCTCTAAAATGTATGTGAAACTACATACATGTTATATATATGGTAATATATAAATAATATGCATACATATATATAAAAGAGTAACTTGATGCTTTATATGTAGTGTTTACCTAATTGTAATCCATTCCTACAATAATTTTATCTTTGTCAGAGACTTCTATCAAACGAAGTTTTCACTCCAGACAAAATGGGTTGTTGGATATCTGTGACAATCATTTAAATGTAATACTGAATTTTGTAACTGATTAATTGCTGGCTATGTGTACAACTCATTATGGTTATTTACTACTATTTATGTGCTGTTATGTAAAACTGAGTAATAGACAGTCACAAAATTCACATAAAGTTGGGGCAAACTTGTTTTGAGACTTACAAATTGGTTAAGAATGTCAGGAGAATGTGGAATCAACAATACTGAGAGTGTGTACCCATGTAAATACAGCTGGGAAGAGACCCCTTACTTGCAAATGACTAACACTTGACTCATGCAAATAGAGTTGATTAAAGAAACACAACTCATTATTGTAAGTTGGGGTTGCTTGTTTGATAGCTGACAGGCTGCATCTGGTCCTCAAAATTAATCTATCTGGCCTGCCAGCTTTTCTTTTGGAGTGATGAGAATTGGCTGGTGGGCAGCAGGTGCTGGCTGAAAACTTGCATCTATTTGTGGTCTGATGTTTAGAGTTTTTATCTGAGTTTGTTCTTGCTGTGTTTACATATAAAGTGGTTGACAGAGGTGCATCTTGTCTTTCTTTGTGAAGCCTGGCATTTAAATCTGTGACTTTCTTCTGCCACAAGGCCACAATTTCCCAAATTAAAATCTGTGTTTATGATGCTCATAGGTTGAATAGCATGTTTGCTACATCTGTAGTGGGAATAAATTGTTGACTAATATGGTTACTGATGCTGTTTGCCTTTCATCTCTATATGTATTCAGATTCTAGAGCCAGACTGAGCTGTTAGCCACCTTGGCTGCTTTAGAAGCATGTGAACATGGCCTTTTGCAATGAAAAGATAACACTATGTTGGAATTGGGGGGTCCATGAGAAGGCTATGATTTAGCTTTTTGGACTTGTTTCTAGTTTTTATTTTTTTGTATCGCACAATAGAGGATGTACAGCTGGTAACTTCTGTTGGTTTTCAATAAATGTTATAGTCTGCTACTTAGGATGATTTTGCTATGAAAACTTCAAGTAACAGTTCCATCAGCAGATGTGCTCTAAATCAATTTAATTATTTAGGAATTGTTTTTTTTTGCTACCAATTTTTTTTTTTGCCCTGTACTACTTGCTTTTTTTTTTCTGTGATTAACCTCCTCATCTTGTTTTTCATTATGAAGGACCTTGCTTTCTCTGTGAAGTCTCTGAAAGAAGTAGCTGTACTTATAATCCATCATTGTCTCAGTAATCTGTAAGCCATCTGTGTTTGTGTACTTCTTTTCCACGAATTTTGAATGGTTGAGTGCATAAGGGAAATCAAGAAGATTCCTTCCCCTTGTGTTTTTGATGTTACTTTAAACTGTCTTTTCCTGTTTGACAACTAATGTCTGTTCATCAGTATTTATTTGGGTTACCCTAACAGATAATCCTTGAAATTGCTCAAGAGGATTTTAAGAATGATTTACTAAAACTCTTTTTTAAATAAAACCAAGGTAAATGTCTTGGCATACCAGGCGTTGCAGGTGTTATGAAACATATAGAAAGATGCTTTCTGCTGCAGTTACAACTGTCAGATCTGAAATGTAAGTTAAACCTTCAGCACTTTTAGTTTGTCCCCTGTATACTCAAAATGAGGGGTTTAGGAAAGAGCAACAGGAATTTTCATTATCTTTTTAGTTTAGTGTCCTGTTGCTTCTAGGAGCTAATCAAAACTGGTTTAAAACACAGATGTGAATTTTGGCTGCTTTTTAGACATGCAGCGGGTGTTTTTTATTACATTACTTGCAGTGTGGCCAGATTTAGGTGGTTAGTTGTTTGGAAATCCAGTGCAGAATTAGTTATTTACGTATACTATATGCATTTATTTGCACTTGTCAGCAGACCTTGCTTTTTTTGTCTTGTTTGCATAGTCTTATTTCTTTACGTTTCTCCTATAGTTGCAACCAAGCCAAGTTTTTCATCTCTCTGTAACTGAGTTGCTTAGAAGCATATTTCTGTTAACCAGAAACATACTTAGTGATCCTTTCCAATGTTGTTATTTACAGTATTAACCCACAAGGAAGACTTCACAATGGTCCTCCTTAAAAAAAAGTTACACATGGAAAAGCTTTATAAGTAACTATCATCAGTAGACCGTAAGATTATAAGTAGTTCACTCAGGATTTGCCTGAGGTCTGATTTCTTCCGTGGGAGGCTGTTGCTTAGTTTTTATACCTCACACCTCTCTGTCATTTCAGTCACTTTCTACACCATCTTCTACTTTCTCCTTTTATTGCTTTCACTTTTCTCAATTTCTTGAAATTGAAAGTGGTTTGAGTTCACTAAATTTGAAATACAGCATTTCTTATAAACTTTTTAGCTAAGCTTACAAATTTATCCAGTTCTTGTTGTCTTAGCCAGGTGAGAAAGCAGCATGCACTAGGCTTATTTCCTTGCCAAAAGCTGTTGAGAGTTTGAAAGACTTAAAATGACCTTTAAAGTGTGTATTTGTTGCTACCTCAAACACCTGCAGCTGTGGCACAGTTCCTGCCGGTATATCTAAGATCTGTATTAATTTCTGTCCTGGTATTTGCTGCTAGTGTCAGATGCTGTTTCAGTGTGTCTGGATCGAACATTCTTCTTTTCTCAGCAGCACACCTAGTTTTCTTACCAAGCATGTAGGCTCCCTGGTTTTAGTGAATGGCATTCCATATTGATTTGAATAACATAGTAGGCAGCTGCTCCTTCAGCACTGTTTTCCTCTTCGAGGTCAGGGATGATAGCACTTTTACATCATCTGCCAACACTGCTGACATTGCTGTAATATACTTTGTTTTCTTCTCTGAAGTTTTTATTGCAATGAAATTTTTGCTGATTTCTAATGGTGTAGTTGGATGGCAAGTCAGAGCAAACTGTTACATTTCTCATTTGACTGAGCAGATTATGATCTTTGTGTAATCCAGTCACATACAGCTGGAATGCAAAGAGTTTTCCAAGCAAGTCAGAAGGTAGATGCTAGAAGAACAAAGTTCTCCACGTGGGCAGAACGCATTATTACCCACTGCTCATGTGCATCAGCTGTTAGTACTGGTCTGAAGGTCCTGCTGTGTGATGTTTTATGCCTATGCTGTTCCTTGAGTTTTCATTATAATGATTCCCTCCTTAACTGGGGGCTTCAATCTCTTCTCTAACTATGCACAAATTCCTCAAAATCCACAACTTGTTTTTCTGTTTCTTGAAAGAATCCTGTTCAGGATTCATTGAATGATTTTTCCATCAACTTACTGTATAAAAGCTTGTTTTGCTTTCACTTTGCACGTTTGTTTCCACCGTGTATTTACACCCAGCCTAACAGTTCTTTTTCCACACAGTGTCACCTTGAGTTTAAAACTTGCACTTTTAACATCTTTTGTGCTTCTTTACATTCCCTTTTGCACTTGTATGTCTCATCTCCAAACAGTCTGCTGTTTCAATCCGTTTAGAAGACTCATGGCAACAAATATAACTTGTAAAAATCCTGGTGGGTTTCTCTAAAGTGTGGTACAGCAGAGGCTGCCGAGTGAGCAGAAAGCTGGCAGCAACAGGTGTGTTTGTGTTGCATCTCACTCCTGCCGCACAGTCCTCAGGGGAGGATGACCAGTAGCTTACCACCACCCAATATTTAGCTTAAACTGCTTGGGCAAAAAGAAGACTTGTTTTCTGATTAAACAGAGTAGCAGAGTGCTAGAAGTAGAATTACAGTTGCTTACCCAGCTTTCCTGGTACTGAAGAACAGCTAAATACAGTTTCCTATCTTAAACCCCCAGTGTTTGGTTATGTTTCTTTAAGACATCTGCAGGCCTTTGTCATGTTGATGTTACTTAGTAGCGCTGTTTGCAGGGTTGCTGAAAGAACTCTGCTGTATATACAGGTTTATACTGCTTTATCTGTGTCAGTGCTTCGTCCTTCTGTGTGTTTTCTGTCCTCAGTAAGCACGTTGCTCTGCTTTTCTGTGGCACTCTAGGTCAGACTCTTGTTTTACTCCTTAGCAATCTAACATTCACTGCATTATGTAAGTGAAGGAAAGACAGATGTGAACCTGAGGTTGAACATCAAGCTACCACTTAGTTCTACAATGACGTATATCATCATGCTCCAGAAATAAACTCTGCAGGGCACAGTACAGGCAGGGTAAGAAGGGAGTGCAGGTTTGTTGGTTTCTGTTTGTTGGTTGTTTGGGGTTTCCTTGGTTGTTTTTTGGTGTTTTGGTTTTGTGTTTTTTTGGGGGGGTTCTTTTTGGTATTGTTTGTGGGGTGTGCCCCCCCCCCCATACAATTTAAGGCATTTTAACATGTTTCCTAATAATTTCTGTTGCAAGATAGTAATTAGCCTTTTTAGTTAGTATTTTATTTCTTCTGCTAGCTTTTAGCCAACAGCCTGCTTTGTACATTAGCACTTGCTGTAGTGCAGGTGTTTGTTTTTTTTTCCCCACGTTTTGCTGGGCTGGGAGAATCATTTAGGAGCCTCCCATGCTCTAGCTTAAAGCTTTGAAGAATGTGAAAATGGTTCTTGCCTGTATACCCGTTTTTGACTCCTGCACAGACAGCTGGTTGTTGCATGACACGAAGAGTTTGTATTCAGCGGGTAAGACCAAGTGCTCCCGGCCACATTAAATCTCTGTTGGTTTGGAGGAATGAATGAGGTTGCCATCTGGGACGATCAGCGCAGCCCCTTTGTGTTGGCCGAGTTAAAGCCGGCACCTGCCCACCGGGTGGCAGCATTTTGTTGCAGGCCTGCTGCTGCTGCTGAACTGAGCAGACTTTCTCTCATGGCTCAGGGTTTGAAGGGCAGCTAAATCTCGTTATTGTCGTCTGACTGTTTTCATCACCTTTTCAGACGGTGGGGGTACATTCTGTGTAGATGAGGGTGTAGATCAGGATGAACACCGAGTTTTGTATTGTTTCTGGCTGCTTAGCAGTTAGAGGTCACTGAGGTCATAATTGTGTTCAGCAGTGTCTTGATGATTTGTAGCACTCGAGAGTTTTAATTTTAATCCTTTTGCAGGAACACAGTCTGATGATAAGTCTTGGGTGTGGGGAAAAATGATTGTTAAAGTATTTGTTTGGTTCTGGTTGATCATATCATAACCACCACCTGTCCTCTGTTTCCTCCCCCATCCCATAGACTACTCTGACACATTTTGCAAACGGTTTCCCATCTCCTTCCCAAGTCATTGTACACATGAAATGCCCTTAGTTTAGTGAGAATTGTTCCATAAGGAGCAATAGCAGATGGCAGCCATTTGGCTTTAAGGATTACACAGGAAAAAAAAAATAGAGGAAAAGAGAATTATAGTAACTCTGCTGACTTTTTGAGTAGTTGGTTATCACACTTGAAATGTCTGTTTCTCTGATAAAGTGGAAGGGTGAGCTTTAGAACCCTTGTCTTTAAAGAGATCATGTTTAGCTCAGCATATTGTTTGAGCTTTTTTTAAATGTAATATCCTTATGGTTTGTGTGTTCTTATTTGGAAATTCTTCCTTTTGTAGAATCTGGGTGCCAGGTTTTCTTCTCCAAGTTAAATATGTATCTGTCAAAAAGGGTTGGGAAGAAGGGGCAGCACTGGCAGGCATTAAATAAGTACAGGAAAGGCTGTGGCCTCGGGTGCTGACTGCAGATAGTTGTTTGTGGGGATTTTTTTGTTATTGCTTTTTTGATTCCTTGCTTGAGTTCTCAGACATTTTAGAACTTCATAGCACAATACGAAGGAGCATTGTGTTGTTTTAATACCTGCCTTTGAGTTAAAAATGTCTCATCCTTTCTAGCCTTTTATATTGGTAAAGGTTATTAAAATCTTGAGAATATTAAAGCTGATAGACTGGAAAGTATTTGAGATTATATGCATCACTAATGAATTCATGGGACATAGTTTTTTGTACACATAATTTTAAGCTTTTCTTAATTGAGTACGTTTAAATTCTAATTTCATTGATTTATGTTAATCTGGAGACTGATTCAGTGAGGACTAAAGTTGTCTCAATCTCTCTCTGTAGTCTGACCTGAAATGTGTTCAAGATGCAAAAGGAGGCTCTTTCTACAGGGACCATTGTCCTGTGTTAGGTGAGTGGAAGATAAAGCCAACTTATCTTGCTGTGTGTTAATTATATTTAGTCTGGATTTCTTTCTTTTTTAAATGTCACCTGAAAGTGATGTGTGAATGTCACTTACTAGTGAAACGTAAATGGTAGCATTTCTCTGCATTAATGATAAATAGTAATGCTTTTCTAAAAGTATTTGGTATCAGTGCCAAGTGGATGGCAAGGGAGTAATATATTTTGTCACGTTTTCACCATATTTCTGGAGAGGCACAGCTGTGCATTCTTAGAAGACTCTCAGGTATTCAGAGGTACTTTATTCGTTTTGGTTCTTGCTTTAAAAATACAGGTCTGTGTTTTCTGCACGTAGCTTACTTTTAGGGTGGTACCATATTTGAATGCATGAATATTAATCAGTAAAGGTAGCAGGAGACTATTCTTTGTTAAATTCTTCCCCTTCCACTAATTAAGTTGCTCTTAATGGATGATGATGAGCTCAGTTCATCATTCTTGCCACGTTACTCTCCATCATCTCAGTCTTACTCTTTGTTTGAACATCTGTCCCTTTTATTAGCCTTCTGAACGTAGTTCAGAGATATGTTCATGCTGTGAATTTAAATGTATGCTTGCATTAATAACCTAGAAGGTTATTTTTGAAGCTTTGTGATATTTGAAGTAGAGTGCAAATAATAGTCCAGCAGGAGCCTTACTAATACAGAGTAGGATGTAGTGGGATCTTCTGTAGTTCTCTGCCGGTTTATATCTCTTACTTTCTTAGACTTCCATGTCTCATCAAAGCTGTGTCTGGGATGTTTGCTGTCTAAGTTTTATATCTAGTTAGTTCCATATCAGCAGCTTTTCTGAATAATTAATCTCTGACATTGTCCTCTGCAGAAGTGGCTGTTTGCGTGTTCTGTCTGTGTTACTGTGAAGGTCAAGGGTGTAGACTGAAAACACCGTTCCGTCTACAGGTCCTCTAAACAAAGACCAGAACAGGAAGAAGTCATTGGGTGGTCATAGAAGTCAAAGTCTAATGAACATGAGGATTTATGTATTCATGGCCATGTTTTATTTCTCAGCAGTTTCTTTTTTCAGTAGTATCAGATTCTCTTTTTTTGCCATTCTGCAACCTGGAGATTTTTAGCACTGCAACTAGTGCTGCCAACATCTGGTATAACTTTCAGGCTCTGGAATTAGTTGCCTTCCGAATAATGTTGTTGGGTTTTTTTTCCTCTGTGTCAGGCTATTTGTACTTCCTCATTATTACGTTGCAAGGGCTCTTTTTCATTATTAACTTTTGCTTGGAATAGGAAAAACAATTCAAAACCACTTTCTGTGGACCTTCTGCTTATCTTTCAGCCTCTGAGTGGCCGATAGATGGCACTTTGTATGTGATGCTCTCAAAGTTATCAGAGCTTTTGTGTATCTAGATGTCTAATGCTATGTGATTACTACCATACAAGTAAGAGCCCAAAGCGGAGCCTGTCACGAGCATTTAGCATCTGCCAGTGTCACTGCTGTTTGCCTTGAAAATTTGACAAGAAATGCGTATTTCCACAGCCAGAAGTTCAGAGTTATTTTTTTACCTGTTCGCTTCCTTTTACCTGTTGGCTGCTACAGTTGCAGACATTGAGTCTCAGAAATTAACTTCTGTTCTTTTAATTGCATGAAAAGTTCATGTGGTCTTGTAAATGTTTTCTACTTACTCTGTTTCAGGTGAGCAAAATGGTAACAGAAACCCTGGTGGGTTGCAAATAGGTGACCTTGTAAACATTGACCTGGACTTGGAAATTGTACAGTCCTTGCAGCATGGCCATGGAGGATGGACTGATGGCATGTTTGAAACTTTAACGACAACTGGAACAGTTTGTGGCATTGATGAGGATCATGACATTGTAGTACAATATCCAAGTGGCAACAGGTTTGTTATATAGCCTTCATCATTGATTCTCACAAACTTTCTTTGCCTCCAGCACTTATGAGTGATCACTTGAGGCCAGAAACATTCTGTTCTCCTTTTGTGTCTGTTAAGACTTCCTTGAGAATTTTTATATTCCTGTGTAAGGAGGACTTACCTTTAGTAGGAAAAAGAAGCTTGTTGCCTCTCTCACGTGGTGAAAATTTTGCAAAGTAATGCAAACTAAAGCCGTTTTCCCAGCTAACACAAGCTGAAAGTGGCTTTGCTTCTGAATGTCATAACTGCAGAGCCAGTGAGAGGAGCTGCTCTGCCTTGTGGCTTCCTCCCTGACTTTGTCCTTCATGGAGGTTATCTGGTGCTTCTCAACTAGATCAGATAACTGAATGAAAGTCAACCCCAGACCAAATGGCACATAAAGGAGACATCACTGTATGCTATATATTAGAATATGACTTGGCATAAAACCAGCTAAATTCCTCTAAACCAGTAAAATTTATAGTACAAATTAGGGTAGCTTGGTTAAAAATTGAAGTGTATCTAGACCATTTAATTAAAGAGTATTTTTATAACTAAATGTTGCAGCTTCTGACCTAGGTGGGAGAAGGCAAAATGCCGTGTTGTTTCCTGACAGTCCAATTCTTTATGAGGCAGCTTGGATCTTTGCCTTTTCAATCAGAGTTATCTCCTTCTCTCCCTGGAAAAATAAACAAATTGTGTAGCTGCTTTCAGGACTATTACATTGCTGTTTGTTTGCTTCCCCTTCGGCAGGATGTTTCTGTGTTGCTTTTACAAATGTAGATCTCTGAAGATTACCCTGGAAATATTCAACTAATAAGCCACAAACAATTTTCTGGACAAAAATAGTTAATGACAACTGTGCCATAGTATCCAGTTCTAGAAAGTTTGAAAGCATAAAAGCAGAATCTTGTCCAACAGATGGTTTTTAAACACATATTTAACTTTGTTTGTTTCAAATGTATTTTAAATGATTCATCGTCTAGGTGGACGTTTAATCCAGCTGTTCTCACCAAAGCCAATGTTGTCCGAAGTGGAGATGCTGCTCAGGGCGCAGAAGGAGGCACCTCTCAGTTTCAAGTGGGTGATCTTGTTCAAGTATGCTATGATTTAGAGCGAATCAAGCTTCTTCAAAGAGGTCATGGAGAGTGGGCTGAAGCAATGCTTCCGGTAAGTAGTTGTATGTTTTGACTCATGAAATGATAGAACTTGTATAATATTTCTAATTATGATTTTTAATAATACCTGAAAGTTATAAAAGTCAAGTTGATTTTTCTCTTAAGTTAGAGAAGGTATATTTTATCAAACATGGTGGTTACTACGTGCTTGGTCAGATGCAGTAATCTGCTTTGCTTGATGAAACTTAGCTAAAGGTATTAGTGACTTCATAAAACTTGTCACTTATTATGAAACATTCAGATTTCTAAATATTTTTAATATTATTTGCATTTGATGTTTTCTGTCATGCAGACTTTAGGTAAAGTTGGTCGTGTTCAGCAGATTTATTCAGACAGTGACTTAAAGGTAGAGGTCTGTGGGACATCTTGGACTTACAATCCAGCAGCTGTCTCAAAGGTGGCATCAGCAGGATCTGCTATAAGTAATGCATCTGGTGGTAAGTTTGAAGAATAATCAAGTATTTTTGTTAAAAAATAGTTAAGTGTCAGCATAAGTTTGTATGCAAGGTTAATAATACTTGAACTTGGAGCTCGGCTAATTGATGTTATGGCTTTGAGAAAGATAAAAGAAAAAGCTTGCAGTTGCTATGGAGATGGTGGTTGTTACTGTGCTAAGATGCAAACATTCCAAACTGAAGTTGGGTTTCTGTTTAGCCACAGTGCAGATATGTCTTTGGAGGTCTCCAAGAACTTTAACATTGAAGTGATTGGCTTCATGAGACCAGAATAGAGACTAAGGCATGAGGAGAGTGTTGCTGGCTGTAGCAAGCAGACCCTTTGTTTAATAGGTAGTGTGGGATAGCAAGCATAAGCAAGGGATCTGTTGCAAGCAGTTACTCCGGATAATAATATTTCCTTTAAATTTTTGTCTTAAAATTTAGTCAGACATCCTTTGACTAATTGCAGTGGGACTTTTTTGTTTGTGTTTATGTAATCACACTTTAATTCTGTTTAACCTGTTCTCATTCATCTAATAGCAAGGCAGAAAGACTATGTAATGTGCTTTATATTTTGTTGGCTGTTTCACAGGTCAGTTAAATTAGAATGCTTTTCCTCTTTTAAATTTTAGAATGCTTTTCCTCAACATACCTAGTTGTTTTTTTCCTTTTCACATATTTGCTTTAATGCCAAGAAACCTTTCTACATAGTTTTCTAGACTTTTTCTTAGGGAGGCATATATATGGAGTTTTCTGCAATAAAGACAAAGTCACAGTGACCATAAAACTAGACAGAAGAGTAATATGACGTAGTGCTTCAAATTAGAGGGCAGGATATACCGTAGAAGACTAAAAAGCCTCATATCAATATGTAAATCCAAGTTTTTTTACCTGGTCCCCACCCTTATCTATTTTGTGGTAGACAAGCTATTTGTGCTTCAGTCAACTTCAAAGTGTCTGGTGTGACAGTTTTTGCTGTCTAAAGGGTATTGGAATGCAGCACTTAGAGCTGAATAATAACTTACAGCTGCCATTTTGTGGTGGTTTATGTATTAGTATGTACATGCCTTTAGACACATGACAGGTTTAGCCATTATTTTTCTGTTACTTTGTGATTAGAATTGTTATTTTTTGTTTAATAATTACAGAGAGATTGTCCCAGTTATTGAAGAAATTATTTGAAACCCAAGAATCTGGTGATCTCAATGAAGAATTGGTTAAAGCTGCTGCCAATGGAGATGTTGCTAAAGTGGAAGACTTGCTGAAGAGACCAGATGTAGATGTGAGTGTTGTGTTTTGGGGGGACCTATTCTGGGGACCTGTAATACTACAGGAAGTGAAGCTGTCAGCCAGTAGTGTATCTGTATAGAAGTACTACAGCTGTTTCCAGTGCCTCTTCTCCCATTTGTTGGCCTGTGAAGTGTCTTGGGAGTGCGTGAAAGTAGTGTTTTACACCCTTTTTCGACAGATTTTGTGTTCTATTGTCTGCTATTAATTAAAATACCTTCCAACCTCTGCCTGCCAGAGTTGGAGCAGGCGACCAAACACTTGCAATTAGTGAAGGGTCTTCAACTTCTTTTGTTTCCAGGGGTTTGGAAGGGGAAAAGGGTAGCTTTGGGGGGATTTTTTGGCTGTTGTGGTGGGATTTGTTTTGTTTTTAACTCACAAGGTATATCAACTAATCTGTCAGATTTCTTTTACCAAATTGTCTAGTCACCTAGTACTGACAAGTCAAAAAGAAAATGCTTAAGAATTACAGGTTCAGGGAAAATCACAATCAGATGTTTTCTCACTAGAGCAGCAGTAATTCTTGCAGATAAGAGACTAAACTCCCTTCAGTTCTGAGGATTGATTTGTAGCTCAAGATTATACAAAACTCAGACTGACTCCTGTTGTTGCCATAAATTAGAAAATTAAAGTGACTACTGTTGACCAGAGGACTGGTATCATCCTGAGACTTGTTCTCAAAATCTTGCCTTTACAGTAGCCCAAAGACAAAGTTTCTAATCCAACTATTGTTAAGGTCTTAATGTTTGAAATAAATCAATTTCTTGGTCCGTTCCTTCAATGTAGCTAATGCTATAGAAATAGAGAAGATGTAGGAGATCATGTATATGTGCTAGAAAGGCAGCTGTCTAAAAATTGTTTATTTGATACTTTCATATGTATGCAGTTGCCCTTTAAGTTTTCTAATACACTTGCATGTATACTTCCAAAGTGTCTCATAGGTGTGTGTATCTTGCAACTTACCTCAAGATATTGATATGCTTCCAGGTGAATGGCCAATGTGCTGGACACACAGCTATGCAAGCTGCTAGTCAGAATGGCCATGTTGACATTTTGAAGTTGCTTCTGAAACAGAATGTGGATGTAGAAGCAGAGGTAACCTAAATTTTTCAAAATACAGTTTGTGTGGTGTTAAGTTTTAAACTTTGCTACATACAGAAATAACAATTCTATTGCAGTTCTCTTAAGTCAGAGTGAGTGAAAAACTACTTTTCGTACTGTGGTTATGTTCTCAAATGAGCCTTCTGTTAACAGTATTACACAGGGTCAATATTTAATTCTTTAGCACCTCTAAGTGAAATATATATAATGCTAATATAAAAGAGCTATGTAAGCTAGTATGTGACTGTAGTAGGTGAGCACCCTTCTTGCCTTTTTTTCAACAGTGAAATGCAATAGGCTAGCACACTGCCTGTGCATTCAGAGAAAAAGATGTCAGATGCTGTATCTCCAACTTCAGTTACTTGCCATTCTTGGTTTGTACACTTTTCAATTAAGAGAAAGTTTTCCATTCTTAACTAAAGCAAGTTTGAGTAAAAAGTAACAACAGTATCTTTGGGTAGGAATTGCCAAGTCTGCTTCCATTTTTTCAGGTTGTGTTTTGTTTTGGGTTGTTTTTTTTTAACTTTTCTGAAAATGAAAGGTGGTTTTTTTTGTTGAGGTGTTTTAGAGCTATTGTTTGTGAGACAATCAATATACTGTGCTATTTGCATTTTTGATTTTGTCTTCACTTACACAGAATGCACTGATATTGCAGCCTGTGCTTGTTCTGTGAAGCACAAGAAAGATCTGTCAAATTTCTTGTATTAAGAATGTAAGTTAAAGCCTAACAGGATGCTTAGAAGTTAACAGTGAACCCAGTCATTGTTTGCAGAATAGAAAAATAACTACATACTTGGGCATTTAGTGTTCTATTGTATTTGATATACTTAAGTTATAGTATGTTTAAACATTAATGAAACAATTCAGTTTCAAATTCTTGGAAATAAAATTATTTTCATATTGACAGATGTGCCATTACTTTGTAAAGGTTTTCTGCAAAATTGCATCAAACATAAGCCATCTTTGCAGTGTGTGTTTGCTGTGGTCTTATATCTGTAATGTAGCTTCGTTTTAGAAGTAATGATTTTGCTGCAGTACATAGCATATACTGTTATAAACAAGACTAAGATGCTTTTTGTCTGTACTATGGGATCAAAGATGCCATGTTAATAAAGTGGTGGACTGATGCTTTCTCCTCTGGCATAAAGAAGGGTTAGAAGCATTAAGAGAAGGAATTAGAAGCGCTGCTTAAATAGCTTCAATATAAAACATCTAATAATCTGCTAGCAGTAGAATTCTTAACGATTTTTCATGTTTGTTCATGTATGCTCAGGCTTCAGAAGTGTAACATTAGTATTAAAAAAAATTTCAGGGATCTTATTTGAGTTTTCAAGCCTTTTCGTGTAACTTTGAGTTAAGAGAAGGTGGTATTCCTACTTAATTATGTAACTGTGTTAATCGCTATCCTATTAATCATATATAATATTAGATTAATGATTATGTGTTTCATACTTTAAAAAATGTCAGCTGTTTATAAATCAGTGATACTAAGACCCAGCAGAGTCATTCCATTAGCAGAGAGCAAAACTTTAGTTTACTTCACTGTTGTGGTCTGTGGTGTGGAAGCAGTGGATAAAAATCCTTACTTTTCCTGCTTTATAGCTAAGTTCCATATATTTACACTTACAGTCAGTGCTGCAGAGTATATACATTCATGATGCCATTTCCTGGAGATGCCTGTATATTCTTCTCTGTGCTTATGTGTCTGACAGTTTAATGTAGTGTACAAGTGGCCTCTGTTTAGTCAGGAAAGAGTGTTACTGACAGAGCTCAAAAAGCCTGGTGTAGATACTGCATAGTAAAAATATCAAGCCTTCTAGTCTGCAGACGTTAATGGGTATCAGTTATTATGTTGACAGTACTGCCAATATTATTTTATTGGCATGTATAGAAATACAGTGCTTTTAATATTTAGATTTATATCTAAATGTAAGTCTTAAGACACATAATTAGTCTTCTTGTTTAAATGCAAAGGAGATGTGGAATATACTGAGTAAAATTAATGTTTCTGCTTTAGGACAAAGATGGAGACAGGGCTGTCCATCATGCAGCCTTTGGTGATGAGGGTGCTGTGATAGAGGTTTTGCACCGAGGCAGTGCAGATTTGAATGCTCGCAACAAACGCAGGCAGACCCCGCTTCATATTGCAGTCAACAAAGGTCATCTGCAAGTTGTGAAGACTTTACTGGACTTTGGCTGCCATCCTAGTCTCCAGGTAAAGCAAATATTAATGTAGATTAACTTTTTAGCTGTGGAATTTTATGATTTGCTGTGCATAGGTGACAGGGAGAATTCTGGAAAATGGGATTGAAAGGAATGGACCTTGTGAAGTTAATCTGTCCAAAACTCCATCTCAACATGTGATCAGCTGTAATAAAAATGCTGTTAAATCTGTTTTTTTTTTTCTTGACAGCTACATAGGCACCTGATATATTCTAGCCGGTTGATGGTAATTGGTATTTTTACAGACTGTAGTTAGCTATAACTGTTAACTTTCTCTCCAGATTAATTCTTCCTCTATTGAATTCACAGCTATTTGCTCCTTCTGCAAGCTACAGCTTTAAATTTTTTGGCTGTTCATACTTGATATGAATAAAAGAAATCTTTTTTTTCTTTTTTTTTTCTCCCACAATTGACCTATCATTAATATTAACTATTTAGCTAGATTCTCTTTTACATGTTCAGCCTTTTATCTAAAAAGCCCTCATGCATAGGGCCTCAAGCACAATAATTCACAGGGAATTTCATCTGTAATGAATGTGGCAGAAGCTGTAACATCTGAGTGCAATGTCCTATTGAGAAGGTGGAGTAGAAGCCTGCCATCACATAAGCAGGCATCCACATTCTGCATGAGCAGAGTGCAGCCACATGCAGTGCATTACTAGAATCAGAATGATCAAGTTTGAAGAGGTTTGCAACAGAAGGAAAAATCTGTATCATCTGGGTAAATCAAGATACACAGTAATAACATATTTACCTCCTTGCTTTGCCATGTCAATAATCAGTGATTTTTATTTATTTTTTTTTAAGCTGTATATCCAAATAAAAAACATGAGCAAATTTACTTGACATTAGTAAATATAGCAGTTGGATTTTTTATCTGCTTCCACCTGGCTTTGTGGGTACTGTCTTGGTCTTGCTGAGGTTGAGTTGTTAGTCAGCTAGTGTCCATTCAAACCCTATTTAGTATTTGTTGGACAGTAGATAAAACGAGTCTCATGTGTTGGGCCCAATGAAGGGTGACTATGTATCATGTGATGATGTATGAGTAGCCAAAGTGGATGTGCCTGACTTGAAATTACAGAAGTCATTTTTAATTGAAAAATTCAGTAGACTGATACTGTGGAATTCCATCTGGAAAATACAATTGTCATTGAAAATTAAGTTCCAGATCCAGTGTGTGTACTGAGGAACTTTGATGTGCAGATGTGAGTAGGTGATTGATTTGGTGGATGAGAGTACAAGGGAGTTAGACTGAGGCATGACTGGAATTTTGCTGGCCAGCAGTCTACTACTCAAGCCAATTCACTGTGTAAACAGGAACATACGTTAGCCTGTAAACAGTAAATTCAGGAAATAGGATCAGTTAAACCAAATAAAAGTTATGTAATTTAGTTCTGGCAAACTGGTTCACACAGGTTTGAGTGCTTCCATATTCTGGCAGTTTTTCATTCTCCCTGTAAAAGCTGTTTTCATATTAGCATATTGCTAAAATGTTCAGTTTCTGTGCTATTCAGTTTGCAGTTGAGTCAGTGACAAAAGACTTCCTGACTTATATGGTGTTAAAATTTTACTGGAAGCATAAATCTAGAGAGTTTGCCTATATAGCAGCAAATAAGCTTAAATGGATGTGTTTTCTCACTGTTAGTCTAGAGCATTCCTTTTCAGTCCAACCATTTGGGTCCTTGAATAAGTAATGTACAAAATCCTTTTAGGAGTAAGAAGCATTTTTCCTTTATTTGAAAAATAAAATGTCAAGCTAAAAATACAAATTCATTGCCTATTCAGTTATTCACTGAAATATTTTCATGTACCTTGTGTAATATGGTATTAGCCATAACAAGTAAGATTGCTTATGACACTAGCCTTTGCTTCATAGAAAATTATTTGCTTCAGATAAAACAACAGATGTGCCTAAGTTTATTACTTGGACTGCGTTTTTATTTTGATTTGCTTATGCTTTTATTTCGCACTGTATTTTTTGGTGTTGTCTTTTATACAGTAAATTGCTGGCTCGGTGTTCATTACTCAAAATTCCCAGCCTCTTTCTACCAGACTAGTTTCTTCTCTGGTGTGTTAGCTTTTGTTGCTGTCCTGTAACTCATAAATGGTACTGTGGGCATCAACTCCATCTAGATATGAAGCACAGAGAAGTTGATGTTTGCACCAGTGTCTTCAGTACTATGAGATGCAAGGCATACTTGAGCTCTGAGTGAGTTCTGGTAGTAGTATAATCATAGAATGCTGGAACCTTGAGTAGGATTACACACTGAAACACTAGCAAAATTAGACTGTTTGCTCTGAACCCTGCAGTAGCTACACTTTTAGGTCTGAAGAGCTGTTTTGTGTTTGTGTAGACAGTTTTCCTAGTGATATTTAAGTATCTTTTTTCTTCAGTGTGGATGCATGCAAAAACTGATGTAAACTGTTTCTGGTTTTAGGATTCTGAAGGTGACACTCCACTTCACGACGCTATAAGTAAGAAGCGTGATGACATCCTTGCAGTATTGTTGGAAGCTGGAGCAGATGTTACTATCACCAACAACAATGGGTTTAATGCTCTTCACCACGCTGCACTAAGAGGAAACCCTAGGTAAAGATATGTTTTTAAAGATCATTTTATCATTTGTAAGGGAAAACAAGTGCATGGGAGGGTAGTATTGGGGTATTCTTTCAAAAGATCCTTAAACTTGCATGTAATTATATTTGTTAAATTTTGAAGCTGTTTAGATATGTATTTTTTCTGATACTTGGGAAGCCATTATTAGAATTAAGTGACTAGTTCAGTTTAATTCTGTATTTAGGTAACTCCAAATTGGGAATTTCTTGTGGTAGCTGTAAATGTTAACATTCTGATAAGTAGGTTATTAAGATCTGAAGATGAGATCTTAACACAGGATTTGTAAAAAATGTTTCCCTTCTTGAATATTAGAATTGGAAAAGGGGGTTGAGTTTTTAAGGAATACTTACTTTGAATAATTATTCAAGGTAACATGTAGTTATAAAGTGATCTTGGGATTGTTAAGTTATATTTTTTAGTATAAGAAACATTTAATTTTGTTTTCTTAGAAGTGTGAATAGAAGGCATTTCTTATTTCAGCTTTTATACAGCAGCTCATATGAAAAAAGTTAGTTTTAAGGCATAATTCGGTTTATGCTAGCTGCACACTAATATACCTGCATTGAATCTGCAGTTAGGATAGCTTTTTAAGCTATGTGGCATGGATAGAACTTAATGGACAATTTAATGTATTGCTAGTTGCTTATTGTGGATAAATGGTGTTCTTCAGAGCTGTCATTCTATCGAGAGTTCAATAATGGTTTATCATACGGTGGTGGAGAATTCAGTATAGCTTACACAAAATAAGAAATGTATGTGTTTACTTGCATTACTTTACAAAATTCTACTTTTCAGTTGGGTGAAGTTGGGCACAGAAGGCTATACACTAATACATGGGAATAAAATCTGGGCTAGTCTGTTAGAACATAGCTGTCAAGACTGATAGTTAAACAGTAAACTTAAGTATATATGGATATGGAATGGAATCATACTTCACAAAGTCAAAGTAGTAGTTGAAAGTGTTGATAGAAGCAATAAATGTGTTTACCATTTTCTACAGTGTTCATAAAAGGTCTGTAGGAGAACATGTCAAGGACCTAGTGAAGGGAACTTATTTTTGGCATTCAGAATACGATTCTTTCACGTGTGACTTTATAACTTGATATGAACTCTCCGTATTTGTATATCAGCATTACCCATGAGTACCATTTTCCTATGCATTTCTGTGGGCTGGTGTTTTAGGAGCGGCAGACTTCTTTTTTTTTGGAGAGATCCAAATTGTAATTCAGACTGGATCAGTTTGACTGTACAATTTTGTAAACCAGTCAACTGGTTGGTAGAATGTGAAGCATAGTGGAGTTTTTCCCAGAATCCTCTCTCCTTTACAAAAGTTTTTATTGGAAGCAAAGGAAAATATTTCCAATATTGGTAATTGGAACCCTGTGTAGGTTCCCTCCATATATGGGGTTTCACTTTTCTCTAAAGCAGTTAGATATCTAAAGTTTAGATATATACTTTTTTGGATGCAGTTATATCAGAGCACTTCTGAAGCATGTAAAAAGAGAGAATGTTGTCTCCATTACAGAAATAGTAGTAGTTTCATTTGTTTACAACATCAGATATTTTTCACACTTGCCTGGGAGGAAAGTAATGAAAATGAAACCAAAATAAATCTATTTTGAAAAACTTTTATTCCCTCCCCACCCAGATCATTACTATAATTTATTTCATTGTTAATTCTGTAGTTCTACTACTGCCATATTTCTGAATGAAACCAAAGGTACAATGTTTGCCACTTTGCTTCTTCTAATCTTGTATAGAACAATGGATATTACTTAATCTGTTAAATGCACTAAGCACAAGCTATTTAAAACACTGTTAAAAATAACCCCCGAACTTTAGCTTGTAGCTGGTATGGGTCACGAGCAGTACATAATATGTTCTGCTTGAAACCTTACTTAATCCTAATCTAAGACTTCCTCTTCCACCTAAGCTGGAGTTTTTGTGGCTTCAGGTTGTGATGCCTTGTGTGGAATACAGTGCACTGAATTCCCCTTAAGGTCAAATGTATAAATATATTATTTCATAGATGTTATTTTATAATGCATTTTATAAAAGTTAAAAACTTATGTTAACATATATAAGTGTATATGCATGTCTTTATAACTACTTACAAAATTATAATATTTACTATTCATGCAAGTATTGATGAAGTCTGCATCCATCTTCCTTGTTAATGATAATAAAATAAATGTATGTGTTAAATGTTTAGATACCGCAAAGTGCACTAGATTTCTATCGATTTTCAGTTAATACCAAATAGGTATTTGGAACTCACTTCATTTTTGGTGCAAAACCTATTCTGCTGCTTGCTTGAGTTCTGACCTTTACTACAGTAGCAAGGTAGATCTCCAAGAAAAAAGCTCTCACAAACTGTGCTGAGAAAAACATTTGAAAGTTTTTCATTTTTCATATTAAAATAAATATTCTATTTTAAACATGTGAATACTAGATAAGTATTATAAGAAAGTTAGCAATTTATGTCAAATAGCTTAGATTTTTCTCTGCACTTAATCTTCCATGACATTTTAGCAGTGTTTTCCAGAAGTCAAGGTATAGTGTGTTTTGGAAAGCATCCTATAGTTAGTGGAATATTTCTCCTTTTAATAATTTGCTTTTCTTCATGCCTTGTCAGTTGGCACAGAAACAGAACTTCTGTTTTTCATGTTAAGGTATGATGTTGAAATGTAGGATGGATGTTTTTCAGTTTATGCTATAGGTAGGTTTAAACTTGTGCATGGAAAGTAGAACAAAAAATAAATTTTGAATGAAGTGTGGGGAAGTTAAAATTTTATTTAATACATGGCTTTTTGTTCATGATTTTTTGACTCAGCCATACTAACAGTGCATTTATTTTGGACTTCTTTCAAAGTACTGTGAACCTCGAAGCTTGGCAGACTTTGCCTCTTCAGTATTAATGAGATTTTTCAGACAGAAAAAAGAGTAAAATTTGAAAGTACTGTACAGATTGGTTATTTTTGCCATGGCATCAACACTTGGTTATGTTTGATTTCTTTGCATACCTGTGACTTCAGAGTTTTGAGCTGAAGACATGACTGTGAAGTGTAGGCGTATTTTATATCCGTTGCCCCAGTTAGTTTTAGATTTGCATTGTATCTCGTGAAGAGAGCTTTATTCACACTGCAGCTAGCATCTTAAATAGAGGCTGCTTTTAGAGCTGACCTGACTTCGCACATGTGTGCGATTAATTCTTCAGAGCAGTAAGTTCTGCTGTACTTTAAATCAAAAAATTAAAATCTCAGGATAAGGTGCAGTTTTCATGTATTGCTGTCCAATACCAAGAAATGCGTCATCTTTACGTTCATAAACTAGGAAGTAGGAGATTGTGGTTTAAAATAGAATTGTAATTTTTCCTCATGGTTGTCTTATTTAGTAGATGTCTCCTTGCTTTTGAATTAGCAGATGGTTTGAAGTGGTTGGCAGTGGAATTTTTAACTAAGGATTTGAGAGGTGGGGTTTCTCACCTCTAAGTGTTAATGAGTGTCTCAGGGGTTTATGTGCTGTGTTGTCATGGAGGTCCACAAAGAGACAAGTTGTGAGGTAATTGAAGAGTTGTACAATTTTGTAAACCAGTAAAAGTGATTTTTGCTTTCATATTTGCAGTTCTGACAGTAAGTGTAGGTTGAAGTTTAGTTCAAGCTAAGTGCAAAAAAAGCATGTTCCTAAAACCTCTTATTAAAGTATTAAGTCAGAAAATGCTTTAAAAGAATACTTTTGTTCAGATTGGTTTAGAGAAAGACTATAATCTCCATGAGCAGACCTATAACTAGATCTCAGATTAGCCTGTAGCTGTTGAGGTCAGTGACACATATTATCTTTAAATGGTAAATCATATGCCCACCGTGTACAAGATGGCAAATACAGTTCCTTCCCTGTGGAGTTTCCTTCCTTGTACAATTAAAAGAGGGAGGAGGAGGTGGGGAAGAGGGATAGACCTGCCTTACATTATCAGTACTGTTCTTTTGGTCAGTGGTTTTTGTTAGGTTTGCTACAAAAGGCAACAGATGTGAGGAAAAATGCAAGAGACAATAACTCATTGGAAAATGTGTTTATTTCACTGTTGACCTATCTTCTTTATAGATGTTGTAAGAATCAGTTTTCACTGAATATGGACAGAATATTAAACCACCAGTAGCTGTTTATTTACAAACACAACCTTGAAATTTTGAAATACAGAATGTGCTGCACTCCCTGTTACCTCCCATCTTCAAGCTGCCTAGAATAACTGAACTCGGCTGCAGAGAGGACTGCATAATCACTGTGCAGACTTAGTGTCTGATTTTAAAATACGAGAAATCTTGTAGTGATCAATGCATAGCTACAGCTGGTTGAAGGGGACCAAATCCATTGAAGAGGTGATTTGGTTCCATTTTACCAGCTTTAGCAAAGCATTGGAGTGCAGGAAGGTTATAATGCAGTAACACATTTTTAAGTACATGAACAATTCACAATGAATGTGTGGCTTGCTTCTGTGTTACACACCTTGTTTCTAGTCAACACAAATTCCGTCACTAATTTGGAGGCAACAGAATGGAAAGCTGTATACTAGAATGGCCTGTACAGTATCCAGGTTTGTTCCTTCCTCAATTATTTCCTTGAGGATCTGTGGATGAATCTCAAATCAAATTATAGTTATAACTGTTTGGTTTTTTGTCTGCAAAAATGAAATTCTAGAGTAGCGACCAGACACAGTAGTATTAGAATTTCTACTCACATAGAGCTCCCTTCCCTCTTTATGTTAAACTTTACTGGGGAAGAAGGTTTTGGATCCCCCCCCGTCCTCCCTCCACATTCATTTGCTGCCAGGTTCCCTTTTGCAGCTGCTTTCATGTTGTAGTTGGTTAGCACAAGTATAAACGTTAAGTGTTTTCAATTCTATACCTCTGCTTAGTATTAACACTGTAGGAATGATTGTATAAAATAGCAGGATAGATCTTTTTTTTTAACCCTGATTTTATATGTAAACATGTTTAATGCCAGAAAAATAAGTCTTTTAATGAATTATCTGGGGTTGCATCTGATTTCTTCTAAGTTAAGGTCCTTAATACATTTGTGCATGCTCACATAGCTTTTTTTGTTGTATGCTGAATTCTTTTTGAGCTTTAACTGCAGTGGGAAGTAGGGGGCAACCTTAGTTCAAGCCATTCACTAGTATGTCAAGTATAGTCTGCATCTGTTTGTTGCATAGTCTGATGCTGGTGAGATTTATGTAAATATATTCCCAACACCATGTATCCTAATAGAAACATAGCAGGTGTGTCACTTGGACTTAAGCATTAAGATGGCTTTAAAATTGGTTTCTATTTTTACCAGTTATACAGGAACTGTTTTACAGATACAGCTGCTCAAGTGCGCTTTTGGATGGCAATACAGTTTCATGTACTGGCCATATCGGGACAAAAAACAGCCATGGAAAAAAAAGCCGTGTAGCATTTGATAATGTCAGCATCTGTTATCCCTGTCAGTCACACAGTTGAAATGTTTGAGTTACAACTGTGTCAGCAGATGCCCAAAGTTCAACGTGTGCTCGGTTAAAATTGAACAGCTGATCTAAGTGATGGATGTGACATTTTAGAGTGACTGGATATGTATTCTTAGAGATATGCTAACGTGAACTAGCAGGAAGCAATGTCAACATATAATTTTAACTTTTGTATCACACTGAACTGTCATTTTGTTTCGGAATAGCATTGCAATGTTATACAAAGAAGACAAGAAAGAACACAACATAATGAATTGTTACCAAAACCCTTTCAAAATAATTTTAAACTGTTAAAAGTTGGTCTTACTATATAGGGGAAGCCAGATCAGTTAGTCATGAGGGCAGCAGCCCTTCAGGAAAAGGAATAAGCACGTAGCAATCAACCCCTCTGTAAAGCTGTTGCTAATGCAAAATTGCTTCTGTGAGCGTGATCAAGTTCAGTAGCATTGTTCCATTTAGAAAAGCTACTACCTACAATTTGATTTGTTTTCCACTGTCAACCAGGTTTTAATTTACATGTTAAGACACTGTACTCCTCATGCCAAAATATCTGCTCATAAGAGAAATAGCCTTAAAACAAATACTATTTTACTTAAAATGGTTCTGATAAGATAATGTTTATTCTTGTATATATGTTATTCTGTAGTTTCAGGTAATAAAAATAGCAGGCTATGTATAGTATCAGTTTTCTGAGAGTATTTAAAAATAAGACTCTCCATCTGAAAGTCATGCCTTGCCTTTTCTTATTTTTCCTGTTGTGTGTTTTTTTTTTTCTCTCACATATTTTAGTAAGCACAGGGGTACAGTTAGAATCTTTTAATCTGGGCCAAATGTGCCCACTTATCCTGGACATATCCTATTTAATAACTGCTTTTAGAAGGCTGCTGTCATGAATAGGAATAGTTGGATTGATGAGCCAGGGGGTCTTTCCTCTTATTTTTCCTTGTTCCTGAATTTGATATTGAGTGTCTTTATTTAGGGATGATACATGCTGGTATATTTTAATTACTACCACTTCTAGAACTTGAAACTGTTGCAAGACTATTTCTCATTTAGTTCTTACAATATTCTGGATGCTACAAAGTCATATTTTCATGGCCAAGTTTTTTAAATTTGGATTGAAAATAAATTCAGCTTATTTGAAAATAGTTTTTAACATAACTTACCTTTTAGGTAGTAGTTGTCATTTGTGTTTTCATTTAGGAATCTGTCAATAGCTTTAATCTGCTGACTAGCAACTGGGGCCTAGAAATCTCTGTATTGTCACTTTCTGTGCATAAACCTGACGCTGCACTTTGTAGTGAAGAGCTCAGTGAGCATAGTAAGTGCTGATTTGGAGAAAATTCTAAGTTAAGTCTCATATTAAATTGCAGAAGTTACCCTACTCAATTATTTTGGCTATCCTTTTCTTTAAATCGCAGTCTTAATTTCTTAGCTGTTTCTACTTGCGTTAGTTGCCACCTGTAAATTAAATATTCTATAGTATATGTAAATTTAACTACTACCATCTTAAGTATGCAAAACTGGCTATGATTAATAGAACAATGGCTTGTGTTTTAATGAGATATATATTGATAATCAGGCTTTTAAGATTAGTTTAGGGTCTATTAAATGAGGAGTACTAGTAATGATAAATTTTGCAGCTATGCTGCAGTCTTAATCAGTGCCTTTCAAGGGTTCATTTCCAGCCTTGTTTTTGAATTCTTTATTTACAAGTAATGTTCTGCTTATCAGCTGTTAACAATTCTTCCTACCCACTTTTGTAGTCACTTAATTTGATGTTTTGTGATTTGTTACTAACAAGTATGAGTTATTTTGGCAATAGCAGCTGACCCTTAGCAAGCTAATTTGTCACATGAATGTCATTCAAACAAGAGGGAAACCTGTTTCTTCCAACAGCTGTTTAGTTTCCTCTTACTGGTCGTTCCGTGCCTGCCAAAAATACATACTTCTTTACATTCCATAGCATTGTATGTTCATATGGGTACATAAAGAAGTATGTACTCTGAGCAGGTACACACAGAGTTGCTCGACTACCTGTCAGATGAACCTGAGAAGTATTTTGCTGCTTTCTGTTGGCTGTCATTAGGTAAAACCCAGCCTGGCAATTCTTTGGTAGAACAATATTATGACTAGCTTTTGTTAGAAAATAAACTTAGTATTCTGACTGAACTTTACAATGCAATTTACCTGCACAGTGGCTTAAAGCCAGTTTGAGTTCATTGTTCAGGGATGGCATGGACATGAGAAGTGCTTTTCCAGATTTTTGCAGCCTCTTGCTGTTCATTCTGAGTGACCAAGTCTGAGTGGAGAGTTGAATTGCTGGTAGCTCTGCAACATGTTTTCTTGGGATTCATAGTTGTATTCCACTGTGAAAACTTGAGCTTCCTCCCAGGTCTTCTAGCAGATTTCCATGCTGGTGTATGGTTTGCTTCTAGTGTCCTGAAGGGAAGTACAGACTTGTCTAATCTGTCAGTTATAAACTTTATTTTCCTACCCTCTCCAGTCCCATTTCCAAGCTTTTTGCATCCTATCCAGTATTCTGCAAACTCTTCTCAGGTTTATACTTATTTCTGCTGTAGCTCAGAGTGATTTAAAATAGAAAGCAGCACATGCCACCAGTGATCCTGCTTATCATAAAGATGATGACATTGAATTAAGAAAACAACCTCTAACTGCTGTGACAGGATTTTGGTTTTTAGGCTGAAGGTTACATAGAAAGCTAATAATTATTCAATACTTCTGCAAACAGCTTTTCTCACTTTTTAAAATTGCCACTCACCTGCTTCAGTCAAAATTTTGTCCACACTTGAAATAGTTACGATAACTAAAACAAAAAACCACAAAAAACCACCACAAACCCTCAAAGAAACAAACCCCTAGCTTAACCCTGTTTCATAAGATTCTGTGTGTCTTAGTTTGGAATGGTAGTTAAATTATTTGATGTGCAGTATGGGTTTGACTTCTAAGGGCTGTTAGATGCAGCTTGTGGTTCCTTAATTTGTATTTCAGAAGTTGATTTGGGTTACACTAAAAAGTAAGCTTTGTGTTTATGGCGTTAGAAGGTAAATTTGAAATAAGCTTAACAATTAGTATATGTAATTGTCGTAAGGCAAGCTGAGAGCAGAGGAAGTAAGAATTTCTGCAGCTCATGACAAAACCCTAGTGCAGCTGATAAAGAGCAAATCAGAGTGTAGCAGTAGCTAGCACAGTACTACAAGGAGAAACAGCAATGCAGCATTAGAATCACAGCAGTCACATTCTAGTTTTTAAGTAGGCTGTTTTCATGTACATCTGAGATAAAGCACCTTGAAAATTTTGCTTAGACCTACTTGAGAACTCAGCACTGCAGTACCACACTGTGTATTAGATTTTCTTTTTAAAGTTGGTCTTTTTTTTTTTTTTTTTTTTTTTTTAGTTTTGTTTAGGAAGATAAGGCTATATTTCCCTGAAATGAGCAACCACTTCATGGCAATGCAATTTTTGAGTTTATCTTCCTTTAAAAGAATTCTGCCTACCAAGCAAGTTGGGTTTTTTGCTATGAGATTTGGACTAATGTTGTTTTCTTTCAACCTGCTCTTTACACTACAAATGCTTGATACTTTAACACACTCAAAATTAAGCTGTTCCCAGAGTAGAGGGATTAATATAACAATAAAAAATACATTCTAGTAAATAAGATATACATGCAGAAAGTCATAGGCATCCCTTAAACGTGCAGAATAATTCAGGTCTCCTGATGTTCTATTACCTGTAAGCTTAGTATCATGCAGCATTTGCAGTTGGAAGAGAGGTAATGACCTAGAGACACATCAGCAGCAGCCATCTCATCCTGAGTGCTCTCTCATTCTATTCGCTGAATCAGCTCTTCATTACATGGGAGGGGGAAGCAAGGGGGGGGTGAATGTCGGTGCATACAATACCTCACCACCTTGAACAGATAAAACTTAAAAGAAAAAAACAACAGAGGCATGAAGGCGGGTGCCTAATTGGCACCTGCTGCCTTTCTTGGAATGCTGAAATATGGATGGTGTTGTATAGAAATTATACCTTATGTCTGCTGGACTGAGAGTTAAGACTCCAAAGGAAGGTGAACTTAGCCCACTGCCAGATGAAAATAATCACAGGCAAAAAGAAAAATGAAAACCCAACAACAACAACAAAAAAAAAACCAACAAAACCAAGCCCCCAAAAGTTGGAGTTGCTTCCAAAAAAAAAAAGGCACACGGAAAAAAAGCGATCGTCTCCCCCCTCCCCCGGCAAATATTGGTTTCTTCTAGTTCCTTAGATATTGCACTGCATCGTTCCTTGCTTGAGGTTATGTTTCCAGGCTTAACTGTAGGCAGGTCTGTGTTGAAGCTACTTTCCATCTTCAGAGGTCAAGTCTGCTAGCGAGGTCAGGGCTCCTGCATGCACACTACAGAAGGCACTAACCGTATTTCCCACTTAGAGGGCACGAGCAAAACTGTTACGGCTTTATAGGCAGCTAAGCATTTGAAACATGCACTCCCAGGCAAACAGGCTCTCTTGTGCCTCTCTCTTCCCTGACCATATTTAGTCAACCATTGCAAAAAATAGTCTCTCAGCTGTCGATTGTCGATCCAGCAGCAAAGGGAGCCTCTATCCAGCTCTCTGCCTATTGATTGTGCAGCCTGCACTTCCACCGCCGCTTAGCCATTTGTCCCCAGGTTTTTTTAGCACTGCCAAATAAAGCACTCTCTCGTGTTTCCAGTTAGATTTCCCAGGTTTTCACTGAGCTTGCGCTGCTACTAGTAAACCCTGGTGAGGTTGTCACTATACTTAGAAATGTTGAGGGGGGGAGAGGAGAGGGAGAGAGAGAAAGAGAGAGGAGGAGAAAAAAAAAAAGGAAGGCAGCCCTGCTAGTAGCAAGGCGAGGACTTCATGCAGATAGAGAACAATAAATATCCTGCTCTGCCACGGCAGGTTGTGTAACCTGGTTTCTTGATCAGTGAAGAATGCCATGAGAAACAACGTACCGATCAGCCTGAGGTCTAAGTGACCTTGTTCTACATCTAGTTTTAAGTTTTCAACTTAAAAATACTCTTATTTTATAAATAAGAAGACAGTGCTGATTTGTCATTTTATAAAGAAGAAATTGGTGCTGATCTGTGGCCCCACATTTACATATTCAAATTAAGTTAGAAATCATTTGGAAAACCTTTAATTAGTAAATCCATGTATTTGCATAATATTATGTTTAATACTTGCAGTGTTTTGTTTATAATGCTTAGCCATGAAGTTACTTGTTAAAAATGGAATACACCTGTTAAATAGGTGCTACTGTTCCTTGAAAGAAGTCAGATGTTTTAGAAGAAAAGAGTAAAAATCAAATCAACAGCTCGGTCCATTCATCTTTCATGTGTACAGAATTGGCCTATAACACGTTTGAAATATGAAAAGAAGGATGTTCATATTCAGTGTTTCCTTCAGAAAAGAATACTGAAATTGAGCCACAGAAATACAATAGCCAGGAACCCACATACTTCAAGACTTTCCTTGTATTTTTCCAGACAAAATTCTTCATATTGGTCAGGAGCAAGAGGAGTGAAAAAGATTAAAGTATCTCAGTCTAATCATGTCATCCCAATAAATATTGATGTAGTTAGTAGTTACTACTGCTTCAGTATTGTAGGGTAGAGAGGGTGTACCACTGTCTTGGATTTATACTTTCCTTCCTTCCTCTTTTTGTGTTGACTTTGTCCTGTGTGTAGTTGATTACCCCAACTTCTGTTGCAGTATAGCTTTCTGGTAGAAGTCATGTTTTTTTTACTTTCTTCATAATCATGCATAGAAGGCAAAATTGTTGTGTAAGATCTAGGCTAATACAGAATATATTTCTGTGGATTCCATGTAAATGTATATACCTCATTATTTCTTTAGCTTCATGTATATTGAAATTGACTTTTCAAATGCCAAGAGATACTTGAAAATCTGAGAGTCAAAAAGAAATAAATGGCCTGCCTACTTAAACTTGTTCTGAGCCATCCGTCACATATAAAATATTAAAGTCTAATTTCAAGATACAGTGTGCTCTGCAACGCTAGCCTACAGTATTAATCTATTCTTTGTTACTTGTTCTTGAGGGATATACTTCCTTCTTCATTCTTAGAGTGTTAACTCCCTGTACTGCACAGCAAGTGTGGAGTGATCCAGATCAGGGAACTGATTTGGCTTGAAGTTGTGTGCTGACGTGCACTTCAGATCATATCGTTGCCAAAAATAGCACTGTCCTGCTCCTGTGTTACTTCTTGCACTATGTTGGTACAAATATTTCTCTGGCTTCACAGTGAGCAGGCTCAGAGTACTGTTCTCTGAGGCTGCTGTGAAAATAATCCAACACTAAGGGGTGACACTTTAGATGCTGTGTCGGGATCACTTTTCTTTTGGGGAAGAGGGGAGAGGATAGGAGAGTGATTGGTTGAGCATTGGTGATAGTAGTCTTGATTCTGTGGTGCTGTAAAATACATATCAGGCTATGTAGCCTTAACAGAAAACTTTGCAATGGAAGCTGTTGCTAAATCTGATCTGTTCCTTCAACTGCTTGAGGATGTAACAGGAAACAGGTGAACAGATTTAGCTGAGCCAGGGGTGGGAATAAGCATGTGGTGGTGGGGTTATTGCAGAATGGGGAATACTTCAAGCCAGGACTGCTGTTAAATACCTTATATTTAGAAACCATGTCCCACTGAGACAGTGGAAAGCTGACCTGAGGGAGGAGAAGGAGTAGGGAGTCAGGGAAGTAGAGAAACTTGTAGTAGGAAGTGTACTGAATCATTACAATCCCTGGAGATATGATTCCTGGTACGTTTGTGCTGATCTAAGACTTTGTGTCTGCAAAGGGCAGTCTGCCCTCCCTGCAACTCTAGCTCCGTCATTTCTGTGTAACTATCACTTCTAGTGATCATAAAGTCTCAGGGTAAATTGGATTATCTCAGTGATCTGGCTGAAAGCAAACTTGCCAAATCAAGAATCTGGCAGGTTGCTTCACTCAGTAGACAGTGATGTGTCTGTAGAGGCAACATAATGCAGGAACTGGAGTGCAGGGACAATGTAATGCAGGAATTGAGTGCAGGGAAAAGTGGGATTGTGTCTTTTGGGAGCAATTGAAGTTAAATGTGCTCATGCTGATCATGAAGTAGATCCTCTATTTTATTTTTTTTTTTATGCTTAAGTAGCTGTTCTTAAAAACAAACAAAAAAAAAAACAAACACCACAAAACCAAGTAAACACCACCTCCCCCCCGAAAAAAAAACAAACCAACCACACAAAAGTCCAAACAAAAATCAACAAAACCCCCAAAACCAACCAAAAGTCCATAGAAACAAAACCACCCCACCATCATCCCACAAACCGTCAGCCTTCCATGTTTAAGTAACTCTGTAGTCAAATTGCAGTTAGTAGCAGAGAAGGATGGAGCAGGTAATGCTCAGTGTTGAATCTTTTTTATACAACAAGGTGCTAGTTTCATCTTGCTTGCAAGTACTTTTATCTTTAAGATTTTTCTAGTAACTACATTATTGTATGTGGCATTCTCAGATAATGCTGATGAGAGTCTGTGAAAATCCTGTGAGTAAAATACAGCATGAGTAAAGAGACTGTATGTAGGTTGATAATGAATAATATGCCATATTAAAACTTTTGGTCATAACATTTGGTATGTCTAATGTTAACTGGTGTTGAAACAACTGCTCTGTGTGGCTAAAAATGGATTAGTCATTGTTCAGATCTGTGATGCGTTTTATTTCATGTTGCAAACATAAAATTCATGCTGTTGAATTCTCATTCTGCTACGATTTATATTTTAAATATATTATTTATATGTGTTAAGGTGTGGTTCCAGACTCTCTGAAAACGTGTTTTTTTATTCTTTTTTAAAGAAAAATATTTATGTGGCAAGGTCAAATTAAAGGTGCATGCAGCAGCAGCATTTGTTGTCATTCTACATCTCAAATTAAATGTAACATAGTATAAGTGGGTATTCCTTCTACCAAATCATTTATAACTACTAGAGCCTGGACTGTCATTTTATGGGGATGAATTATGTAAGTTCTGGTGGACTTCATAGGTCAGTGGTACCACCAGCAGCTGGGTCTGGGAATGCAATGGGTATCTTGATCTCAGCACCCTGTACCCACAGGGCTTTCACTAAGCAAGTATTTAGCTCCGGTGAAAGAAGAACTAGCTTCCTCACCTGCTTCAAAACCTTACAGGCAATTTCCTCAGAAAATTGCACTGGAGTTTTTCTTGTTGTAACATCTAGAAAATGTCAGAACTTGCAAAAGATCATCCAACTCAAAAAGGCCCAAAGTCTTACCAGCTTCCTGCTAACTTGAAAATACTGCAGGCCAACAAACGCCAAAGCTTGCTGGTTGCAATTTTTTTTTTTTCATTAGTAGTGCTTTAGTAATAACCTTTAAATTAGCATAATGGTGATGTTAATTTATCAATAATCTTTGCATCCTCTCAGCCATGTAATCTGTAACACTTGATACATCAGAGATGATAGTCTGAAGAGTGTTCTTCAGCTGATTGCATGGTCAGGGCTACTGTCAGACCTCCTGATTTCTTGATCTTTTTCAGTACAGTTTACAATGAAAGTCTGTGGTCTGGTTTAATGTATACAAGATGAAACCAAGTTTTCATGACCACATCTGTGTTGCGGTCCTGAAAATGGAGTGGTACAACATGGCGGCTTCTTTAATACGTTGTGTGGAAAAGTGAATCAGGAATTACCGTGTAATTGGCATGTAACATTAATTCACTAATATCACTTCTTACGATACAGTGTATTCCTGTTCCAGTGAGCACTGTTCTGAATGGTAGCCACTTAGCTGTCAAAATTTTGGCAGCAGCTCTAGAAAATCCTTCAAAATAGAATAGCTGTACGAAGGAAGGCTGCAGTGTGAGGGATCAGGATTTTGTGCATTGAAAGAAACTACTTCTCAGCTGATGAGGAGGAAGATGCAGCACGGAGCATCATAGAAGTATTTGTTGTTTGTAGCATATTAATATCTTGCAGAATTTTAAGGTGTTATGTCTGTGGAACCATCCTTCATCCTGCTCTCCAGTAAATTAGTGCAGTGTGGAAGAGAGAGATATGTAGTCTCTACTTGGATAGGCAGAAGGAACTGAGGGGTAGCTACTGGCCGTCTGGTGCTTCACTGTGACAAGGTAAAAATCTATTACACATAGCAGCTGTTTGTTTCTTTTGTTTGTCCTTCCGTTGTTTTGTTTTTTTCAATATGGCCAATGCGTTCTAAAAGCATCCAAAAATGTAGCAGGCGTCTCTTTTATGTGAAAGCAAGATGTACCCAAATATTTGACAGTTGAACTTCAGATGAAAACTTTCCTGGTATTTAACAGCAAACTAAGTAGGAAAATATTTGAAAGAGGATCTAGTAAGGCTAGAACTCTTGCAAATATTAGGATTAGCGATTTTTTTTTCATAGCATACAAAATACTAAGTCAGTTGATTTCCTACTCTTTCAAAGATGAGAGGTGTTGAAGAAATGGCAGCAATTATGTTTCTGAAGTATATTCGCTTCTCGATGCATCTGTTAAAGTGTGTGAATGTACTTTAAATTTTACTTTATTTATCTGTGATGTTGGCGGTTTCCTTATTTCCTTACTGAAGAAAAGAACATAAAATATCATCTGAGTTGGTTAGGACTGTTCCTTGTTTAGTGACTAGAACTACTTTGGAAACAAGCTGGCTATAATTAGAGATTTGAGTGTTGGTACCTTCCCATAGTGTTCCTCAAGTTATACTTGAAGTTGTAAAAAGTATTTCTTGTGCCTGGCTTTTTTTTGTAGGTTATTGTAGTTCCACATTTTACTGGATGCTCACAGTGGTCGTATTGCTTGTGCCAGTCATGAATTTTCAGGTGATTTTTGTTGTGCTTTTTTAGATGATCAACAGGAGATATTGTAGAGCTTCATGGAGTCTTTAGAAGCACTGAGCTTGCAGGTGAAGAGCTTTCATTACATGATACCCTGTGGGAAGCCACTGTAGGAAGTAGACTGGTTTGTGCTGCTGGTAGTGTATGCTCCTCTTTATCAGCCAGTTTTCTGAAGAGCTGATGGTGGTTTGCCCAGGTACAGTCCAGATACGTTGTGAACCAGTGTTCCAGACTTGCTCCCTCTCTAAGACAGCTAGAATCAGGTCTGATGTAAACCTGATATGTACCTATATCCAGAGTTTGAGAATACATCATTTGATTACAAAATATTATATTTAACAGTGGAACTATTTATTTTGCTACATTTCATAAAGCTTTGGTAACTTTGGGTTTTACTAAATTATATCCTTAATTTTGGAAACGCCTGCATAAATGAATCTTTCAAAAAATTAATGTTGTGGTCATCCCCAGCTCCCCCCCACCAAGTATTTTAATCTTTTTTCCTAGCATGTGACAGAGCTGTAGAAGGTGTTATGAATAGAAGCTGAGCAATGTCACACAATGAGCAATGTACAATCTGTTAAGTGTTGTTTTATTTTGCTGTGTTACAAGTGATTTGGACTGTGAGAAGTGAGAAGCTTAGTCCTGCCAGGAAAACACAAAATCCTAAGAGGCTGAGAATTGTTTCTTATTTGCTTACCTTGGGAAAACTGATTAGATGGAGTCCGAAGGACTGAGAGAAGCCACAGAGAGCAAAATGCATTCAGTTCCTGGCCAAGTGCTTATGTCCACTCTGTGAGAGATAAACCTTCAGAGCAGCCTGGCTGTGAATGCTCCATGTAACAGTTGGTCATGGGTCTCCTGTGGGTCTATGTGATCCTGTGGCCTGAAGATGCAGTTGCTTAGTTGTGGTTCCTTCAGACACTCTGAATCTGGGAAGAAAAGCAACAGTTATACCGCAGTTGTCAGGATGGTGTATTGAGTGTAAAACTGAGGGTTTACACTGCATTCTGAGTGCAGTAGCAGGAGAACAAAGAGGTCAGGGTCTGTTAGGATAGCATCCAAGCAGTGTGTGGGAAGGAGTGCATTTTCTTACTGGTGCTTCATGGGCTGATCTCCCTCATGGACTCTAGCTTCTCTTTTTCAGGAAGGCTGACTGGAGTGAGTTATCCCCAAAACCACAGGTTTTTTTTCTTTTATAGGAAACTTGTTGTCTTACTCTAAAAGATCATTTAGAAGTGAATAGCACTTACGCAGTGTGGATGTTCAAGGTAACAAATTATTGGAATGAATTAGGAGCTCTGTTATTACTTGATAGTGCAGTCATCTTACTGCAATCTTTTGAGAATAGTTTTAAGAAAGAGCTGAGAGGCTTATTTAAGGATGGCATTTGTGAGGCTTATTGAGATCCCATGTTTTCAATATCGGGTCCCTAATGAAGAACTGCTTAATTCAGTAATAGTATCTGCCTTGCAGTGCATTCTATGACTGAGTGGTTCCACTTGCATTAGCTAGGATTAGATGGATTTTTGAATTTTGTGAAGAAGCTCTGTTTCTCCTCTAAATAACATGTTGTTTCAACAATAGCGAAAGATAAATGGCAGAAGAGGCTTCCCGGCACAAGACTGTAGCAGTTTCTGGTTTTCTGTTTGTCTTTGAGGAACTGTCATAAGAGGGCTGCATGTGCTGTTTATAAAGATAAGACAATAAGGGAATTAAGTTTGGTTACTTACCTATTCCAAAATACATATGTACTTAAGAAAAGTGTGTTTCTAAGAGAACACAAGATTGAGCCATTTGTTTATCTCATACTGTGTTGTTAATACCCTTAACACTGCGACTTCATGGATTTTAGTATGTTTTTATTCTCTAGTAAATAAGTTTCTTTTTCCAACCTTGAATTTGAGGTTTAAGATAATAAATCCCCTTCCTTTGGTATTCATCTTGGTAAGTACGTACAGAAGTGTGTTGAAGCACTAAACACTGCCATGGTATATTACAGTTAGCCACTATCTTATGAAAATATTCCACTAATACTTGCTTTACAGATTCAGCATTTATTTTGTTTGTGTCTAAGAGGTCTTAGTCCACTTTTATCTCAGAAATTGAAAATCTTAACTGTTAAAGCCTATGGCAGCAGTTTATAGAGTGATTTTAAAGAAATCTAATGTAGTGGAACTTGTCCATTAAATAGAGGATGCTATGAGGATTTTGAGGGAGAGCAATTCTATCATCTATGTTGCAGAATTTTTGTGAATTTTTTTTTTAAGGTAATCTTTACTGTTAGACAACATTCTTCTGGGGAAAAAAAAATCTGATTCATACACTCTGTGTGTTGTATGGTTTGTTTGTATGCTGTAAGTAGAAGGAACTGAACATGAAATTACTATGCTTTGGAACTGTCAGTATAGCTTTTCACCCATGTTCCCTTTTTGAAAAAATACTAATGTTTTAGCTACTACTACTTTGTAGTTCTGAGAATTAATATGGATTTATTGTTATCCTGTTCTCATTCAGCAAATAAATTATGGATGCATTAGTCCATCTCTGCATGTTTTATTTCAGTGCAATGCGTGTATTGTTGTCCAAGTTACCACGACCATGGATTGTTGATGAGAAAAAAGATGATGGTTACACTGCATTGCATCTGGCAGCTCTCAATAATCATGTAGAAGTGGCTGAACTTTTGGTGCATCAGGTAGGACTCTTTTTCTCAGGATCACACTTCAGTTAACTATCTGATGTGAAAATAGTTTGCTGCAGTCGCAATGCAGAAGCAATGGGGCAGGGAAGGACACATGGTCAGCTCTAAAGGTCAAGCTTGCCTTTGAGACCATTACAGTGGCCTAATGGTGCAGAGGACCTGAACAATTTGATACCAGATCAATAGTTTGATTCAACAGATCAACATCTGTACATTGCATAATTAAAAGCATTTAATCACTTCTGCTCTCAAAATCTCCAGATTAGGAATCATATTCAGGGTTGTATTAAGTGCTCTAATGGACTGCCTTGCCTGTAGATGAATTGCTGGGATGATAATGCTCTAATGCTTTGAATATCTTTCAGGGCAATGCTAACCTGGATATCCAGAATGTTAACCAGCAAACTGCTCTGCACCTTGCTGTTGAACGACAGCATACACAAATTGTTAGGGTAAGTATCTTACTTGCAATAAGCCATATGTTAATGGTACTTGACTTGAACTCATAGTAGCTGTTAAGACATGGGTAGCTCATGAACATTTAAAAAATGATTTAACAACATGTAGCCATTGAATGCTTGTATGATTAATTTTCATCAGTTCAGAAACCTGCCAGCTTGCACAGAAGGTCAGCCAGCAATGTGAAGGACATTTCGGGAATTCTGAATTTTTGTACATGTTCATTATGGTTTCCTTTACACGGTTGCCAATTCCAGCATCCCCCTTTGTTGAGTAAGGGAGAATCCTCTGTTACTTATCTGAGTCTTGTGGTCCTGTAATGAGACCTTCAGATAGCATTTTTGATGCCTCTTGCTGTCTGAGTAATTATTCTTACTTACAGCTTTTTCAAATTGCAGGTAAGTGAAACATCTTTTCACAAGTTTAACTACTTTTCAGTCTTCTGAGAGTATAACTCCCTGTTCTTAGCTTGGTAGAGCAATAAGCAGTAACAGAAGTACCTTACAAGTGAAAGTAATGCTATTTATTTTTTCGCTTGCGCAGTTGCAAAAGTTAATACTCCCAGCTCAGCAAAACTGTGTTACTGGCACAGGAGGCTGGAGTCTGGCACAGCTTACCTGTTCTGGCTTGTGTGCTCTGTCCATAAGGGACCTATGTGACTCAGTGTTTGGGTTGCTAACAGCTCAGTGGGCTGTTAAGGCTCAGAGAGAGTGCTCACTGCTGTAGATGATGTTTCCTATTGAGTGAATCCATCAATCTGGCCTTGGCCCTCTGTATAATTGTTTTGAATTTGTCATTGTGGAGTGATAGTCGTATTAAAAGCTGTCTCTTATGCAGGCCTGCAGAGAACTGTCTTCCCTATGCAAACCTATATCTGCAGGTCTGTTTAGTGATATTTTGCCATAAGGTTTCTCCATCTCTAAGAGCTGATGGGTATGATTCCATTACAGTGAAATATGTGATATGGCCCTCTACCTGGAACTGCTTGCTACCAAAAGAAAGGTTTCCTAGAGTTAGTGTCGCTTGCATCCTGCAAGCTATTTGGCAGCTGTATTTGGTGAGCTCTTGTGCCATTCTGAAACCAACATGGTACCTAGGAATATAGTACTAAGGTAGCAAATGAACAGGAAGGTAGGCATGTAGAAAGACTAGTATATGTATTAGACCAACATGCCTATATCAGAGAATGTTTAAGTGAATGACCCTGTAGAGTATCCATATTTCAGTGTTGGATTAACTTTGAGAAGTCCTAAAATAACTCATGCAGCCATGCAAAGATCATGTTGGCTCTGTATTTCAAAATTAATTCCTATTGGATACCTTCCAGGGCTGGGTTGTACCCTCAGGCATCTGTGGAATAGTGGTCAAAGGTAGCAGGGTTCTTTTAAAAGCCCTGCTGCCATGACAAGGGCTGGTGGTTGGCTTTTTTTCATTTATTTTTTAGTTTATTTTATTTTACTTTTTTTTACATCTACAGAGGCATTGAATTTCCAAGTAGCCAAGGATTTCCAGGTTCCTCTGAAAGGAGTTCTGTCACAGATTTTCTTCCAGGAGAAACTTTTAAGCAGTAAATAGCTGATTGCAGACACAAAATAGGAATATAGGAAAGAAAATTTGAGCCAGGGTAAGTCCATCTAGAAAGTGTAAGAAGTTGGGGGAAGACTGTTGCAACTATTAGCTGGCTTCCTTGGTTTCACTTGTAGAAGAAAAGGTTAGGAAAAATGGTAAACTGCAGTTAGCTGCAGGCAAGTATTTCCTTGAAAAATAAGTTCTGAATTCCTTTTAAGCTTTTTTTCCTTTTAGCCTTTTGTAAAGTCCAAGATTCTTTGGTTCGGAGGGGCTGAAATCCTTGCGAGCACATGGGTTCTGAAGAGGGAGATTCTCCTCCGTGTATTCCTGTTTCTAGGCTATGCCTTTTGTCTCTACTGCTGAACTGAATTTTGCATAGTAGCAAAAGCTCAAAACTAAAGTTAAAACCTCAGCTGCTATCTACATGTTTCTGAATAGCAACAGTGAGGGAGTTAGAGTTTTAGGGGCAATTGTTACTTGTCAGCATGTGTGATTTGTTGTGTTTAACAGTGTGTTTAAGAAAGTTCTGGCACATTGAATTAATGGGAGGGCTGGATGCAGAGAGAATATGAAAAGGAGGGCCTGTGCAGCCTTACACTTGCTTTCATGTCGTGTGACCTGGAACACGTGTCTAAAATTAGACTTAAATATGAGTCTTGCAGTTCATTACCTTCCAAAGTGTTCTGAGATAGTATTTAATAATGATGTTAGGTTTTATGTCTTGTGCTGAATAAGGGTAAACCTAAGTACATGCTTAACTGCTTTGCTAATGGGAGGATACTGTAAATTATGTTTAAGAGTGGTATAAACATACCTAAAGTGTTGTCCTCTTGTTCTGTTTCTGATATATTGCTGTTCCGTTTCTGATATATTGCTGTAATATATTACATTGTTTGTAGGCTATCTTGTGAGAATTGGAGGTTTTGGACTATAGGAAGACTCCTCTAAAATAGCAACTCTTGTAGCATTCAGAGCATAGGTGAGCATTTTCTGCTGAAATAAGCTTGATATTTGAAAGAGATGAATGCATCATTTGAGGCTAAGTTCAAAGTATGGAAAATGAATTTAAAAAACCTCAACTGTGAATTGTAGCAAGATGAAAGAATAACCCTTTAGGACCTTCTGGAGCATCCTAAACCCTAGTTTCCTGAAAACAGTTTTAAAAGGAATAAATAGCCTTTTTTTGAATTTTAAACTGTTTTCTCTCTCTTTTCAGCTCTTAGTCCGTGCAGGTGCTAAGCTGGATATTCAGGATAAAGATGGGGATACTCCCCTGCATGAAGCCCTGAGACACCACACCCTGTCACAGCTCCGCCAACTCCAAGACATGCAAGATGTGGGCAAGGTAGATACTGCTTGGGAGCCATCAAAGAACACAGTAAATAAAATGCATTTATTTATTCCTTCTTTTTTTCTGTAAATTTGTCTCTTTTGTTTGTCTAGTTAGTCTAGTTCTGTACTGTTGAACTGTTTTTTGGCAGCATAAGTTTACGTTGACATTCTGAATTAAACTGCATTGTAGGCAGAAATCATATTGTTATACGTGGCTTTTCACATGTAGTCATTATCTTTGTTAAAGAAAAATAAGGTTATTTAATTCAAAATGTATCTACAAATCTCTCTTCCATAGTGAACAGCCTGCCAAAAAATTAAAAGCAGCTTTTTGGGAAAGAGAAATAAACAGTATTACAGTACAGAATAAAACTAAAATTATTTTCTGGTATTTGATGTCTTGCATGATGTCTTTGTAGCTTTAATTATTCAGCTACTTCTGTAACCTTCTAATCTTTATATGTTCATTGTTACATATCTTTCTGACAGTTCATTTCAGAAATTGTGCCGTAATAAGGAAACAGTCAAACTCCAAGTAATAAAGGTCAAAATGTTGTCTTGAAAGAAATGCTCACGTTCATATGTGTAAACCCCATATGGAAAGATGAAATTTATAGTTTCGCTGAAAGGCAAAGGAGAAATAAAATTCTGAAGTGATTTGGATTGAGAAAACCAAGCAACATCCGTGTCTTTTGTTTCTTTTTCTTTAAATATTAGAGGATCAGATTTGCTGAATCATTAATTATCAGCATTGTGATATTTTTTCTAATTTTAACTGTGGGTGATTTTTTGCATTTTATTTAAAAAAAAATAAACCCAACACCTATTAAAAAGCCTTTGTTCAAAACAATAATTCCACTGTACAATAAATGTTTTCAGACAGGTTACTTCATCTCACTGAAATACACTGGAATAAGCTTTGAAAAGAGGTTTAAAATATAGCTGGCATACATAAGAACACACTTGTGTCTTTTTAAGTGAGAGGAGTAAAGTGATTACAACTCAGTTATTTTCATGATCTGAAATGGACTCTGGGAGGTGGTCAAAACACTTTACGTGCATGTATTTAATTGTGAAATGAGTGAACAGAGAATTTATTTTTTTCTGATTCTACATTTCATAAATAGGTTTTTCTGTTGCCCATCTTATTAGTAAAACCTGCTGACTTGCATTGGTGCCTGTGAAGGCTAGCACCCTCCAGGGGGAGGGTTGCAGCCATACTAGGCACTAAGACATAATGGTTTGTTTTGTGCATTGCTTGTTGGGTGTTTTCATTCTGTGCACCTGAAATATTGTAGACTACCAGGGAAATGTCATGGGATGCAATGTTGCCCTTGTGTTCCTAAAGCGTTCAGCATTCAGAGGCATTTTAGGACTCAAGATTTTCTTGAATAATGTTGATGACTGTTAGAGGTGGAGGAGCCATTCTTGGCATCATGTATATCCACTCCAAATGAAGGAAATGATTTGAGTTCAATTTTCCTCTTGAAGACACAGTAATGGTTTCATTCAGGGACAGCTTGGAGCCCATAAGGTGCAAGTATGGAGGGCAAGAGAACTCTTGTCCCAGCAAATGAGAAGGGACTATAGCAAATTGTTTGGTGTACCCATGCCTTAAAAAAAAAATGGCCACTCTGCCAGCCTTAGGGCAAATAGGCTTTCTCCGAGCCTTGCTCTGACCAGGGTTACTGACATGGTTCAAGGTACCTGAACTGAAGCTGGATAAAATTTCTGCTTCATTTCAGCCAGTGCTGTAAACTGAGGTGCAGAAAAATGGTCTGAATTTATAAACAAAAATGTTCTGTGATCTGCAGACAAAAAAAATAAATAACAAAACAAAAAAACAACTATTTCTCTCCATAACTTAGTGGTTTTCCTCATAGGAAGTCTTACAAGCTTTACTGTTCTTACCTGATCATAAGAGTACATCAAAAGGACTATAAGTATATGAATTCATGAAGTGATCTTCAGGAGTCTCAGAGCACCTCAGTAATAATACTTATTAATATAATAACTTTTAACTGAAAAAAAGCATGTAGACTGAGGTTTTAAAAAAAAGTTGCTTCACTGGGAAACTGTGTGGCCGTATGTTGAGAAGAATAATCTTGCAGTTATCAAGGCAGGGTAAAGACTTTTAATACATTCTTCAGTGTTGCAAGACATGGACCCAAACCAAGCCTTTTTCTTCACAAGTCACCTCTGAGGGATGGGGGAAATAACTAGAGAGGTTTTGGAAACTGTTTTCTTCATAGTTCAGACTTCAAAATATGCAGCCTTTCAGGCTGCAGTGACAGGTACTACCTGGTATTTAAATTTATTCCTTTATGTTGCTCTGCCTAACGTATGTAGTTATTTAAATACTAAATGGTTGTTAATCAAGCCCATATTACTGCATTTTTAGGATTAATATTTGATACCCAGCTTTTAGAAGACCAGCTGCAGAGATAAATTGTACAAACTGAAAGTGGCATAGAAAGATGTACATCAGTCAAGTTGAGCACTGTTGCCAATTAATGGGAAAGAGGTGCATGCAAAATCCTGCCTCTGTCCTAGTGTTGAAGCCTTTACAATTCTGGAATTCAGCACTTAAAACCCTCTGAATTGGAGCTGTCCCAGCTGTGCCAAAGCTGTTCCTTTGAATATAGTTTCATGCAGTTTGCTGAGAGATTTGTAGTGGTTGCCAGAAGTTTCACATTCTATATAGTCTCCATTACACTTACGCTTTTTATCTGCTTAAGCTGTAACATAAAAGACGTTATGAGCAGGCCTGTTATGCTCCAGAGTAGGTGAATCCTCGCCTTGCTTGGCTATGCTAGTGAGCCTTTTCATTTCTCTGCCTGTCCCTGTGAATGGTGTGTAATAGATACACTGATAAAGAAATGCAGTAGTACTTATAAAAGGGCAAAGGAGCATTACATTATTAGGATGGGAGGACAGGTACATGAATTTAAACCCCTCCAGGCTGAGAATGCAACTCAAACCAAGTCTTTTCTGGGCAGGTGCTTTACTCACTAGATTAAAATTAAGTGCACATTTGTTTCTCTGCCCAACTATGTTTTCAGTCCAAGTGTGGTGATTGTAGCTGAACTCGGCAGTTTCAGTGTACTTAAAAGCGTATTCTTGATATACCCAGTGGGACTTTACAGTGCTCATGTAGAAGAACAACAACTTCACAAGTGAGTATAGGTGTGCAGGAGATTGAATGCTTCAGTAGCTGAACTATTCCTTGCTGAATTTTAGTTCCTTAAAGGCAACTTTAGTATAGCGGACTCAGTACTAAGCAACCACATGATTGCTTTGATTTTAGTGCTAGAGACTCCTCCTTGGGCTTACAGATTTATGCATGTATGTGTATATGTGCATGTTAAGTAGTTTTCCTTTAGCCAGGCTATTCCTAACTGTTAAGAGTGTCTCTCAAATTGCTTGCATATTTGGTTTCTTGCAGTTAATAATGGGACTTGGCACTCAGGGAGCAGAGAAGAAGAGTGCAGCATCTATTGCCTGCTTCCTGGCAGCCAACGGAGCTGACCTCAGCATTCGTAACAAGAAGGGTCAGTCTCCTCTTGATCTCTGCCCTGATCCTAGTCTCTGCAAAGCATTGGCTAAATGTCACAAAGAAAAAGTCAGGTTTGTATATTTGTATATGTAAAATATGCAGTTTCCAATTCTCTGCTTTCCACAGATTAACCGTGATGTATTTAAAATGTTGTGTTTTTTTAGCAATAGTGTTAAAGCATACAAGCTTTCTCTTGCCTTTCAGTGAATTCTTTCTTTCCTGTGGTACGTTGAATGCTGTTTGCAAGTACATTAATAGAAACTTACACAAGTCTTTCAGGACTTTCATACATGTTAAGATGGGAGGGAAGAAAATGGGGGCAATGTGCAGGTGGAGGCTGGTAGAACTTCAGGCTATCCCAGAAAAGGGCAGGGGGTGGGGTTGGTGGTGGAAATCACTGAAAGAATAAGCACTGCAACAGGGTTGCCCAGGTAGGTTGTGAAACCTCTGTCCATGCAGGTTTTGGAGACTCAAACAGGCAAAGCCCAGTATAACTTTGTGTGAATTAACTGTTGACTCTGCTTTGAGCTGGTGACCTGAGTACCTGTCAATCTGCACAACTGCAATTCTGTAAAAAGAGGAGGGGGATAAGTCTGATGTCTTGGAAGCACTTTTCATTGAAATCATAATTCCTAGAGATGTTATGTTACCAAGTGCATATAGCATGAGAAGTTTCAGCTTGCTGATAGTCCTAGTTGTGTTCCTGGTTGTGAATCTTGTGTGGCTTATGTGATTCTCCTCCTTAATTCCTCTGTGGAAATCAAGACTGACACGCATACCATTTTTGCTGATGCTGCCCTGGTGTTTAAGGTGCTTATTTTCTTCAGGGTCTTTCTGTCTGTCTGTCTTTGCCTCGTCCCTGTGTGGCTGTTATTTCTTGCCACCTTTTATGGGCTTATGAGGGCTGTAGGAATGAGCTGGTTAGGTTCAACAGGCGCTCCCTCTGCTGGATGAGCAGTGGCATAGGACAAAGATCCGAGGTGAGTACACCGTGTGAGTTTGCAGGTTCTACAAGCCTGTCCTTTGCTAAGTTTTGGACGTGTATTCAAGATTAAGGTGTTACACCGTGCAGTTCTGAATCTACAGGGTACGTATCTCAATAGAGTAAATCCTTAGGATGGGAGGGAAGGGTTCTCTACATTCACGAGATGTTATTCTAACTTGTGTGGCCTGTTTTCTGTTCAATATCTTTATCTGAGTGTGTGACCTTGCACTCTGGTGCCAACTATACATTTGGGAAAATGCAGTTCACGTTGGTTTATGGTGCTACTGTGATGCCTGAATGCAAAGGAATATATAGATACAGCCAATTGATATTTCTTAAAATGAGTTTGACTGCAGGTTTCTTTGTAGTGGCCAGGTTGGTTCCCGAAGTCCATCTATGATCAACAATGATTCTGAAACCTTAGAAGAATGTATGGTGTGTTCAGACATGAAGAGAGATACTCTGTTTGGCCCATGTGGACACATTGCCACATGCTCTCTGTGCTCACCACGGGTGAAAAAATGCCTCATCTGTAAAGAACAAGTTCAGTCTAGGACAAAGGTAAAAAAATTCCTAAGTCTATTGGTTCTCTTCCTGTTTTTAATGGAAAAGTAAAACAAAGGTCAAGGAAAAGTTTAGTATGTTTTAAACGGTATTTTACCTTAACAGGTATCTCACTGGTTGGAGTTAATTTTGCATTATAATCCTGTCATGTTCCAACATTATAGGTTACTCTCTTCTGTTTGCCCGTACTCATGTCCTCCCTGCACAGGTACTCAGAATTGCATTTTGAGGTGCTGAATTAGTTAAAATAACACTGGATGGAGCTTCTTACAGTCCACATGCCTTGCCAAAAAGAATGTAAACGCAAATTACTGTAGGGAGCAGGAGATAAACTTCTCTCATATGTATGTTCGTTGTTCTTTACAGATTGAAGAATGTGTAGTGTGTTCAGACAAAAAGGCAGCGGTGCTTTTCCAGCCTTGTGGTCATATGTGTGCCTGTGAGAGTAAGTAAACTTGATGGAAGTTCTTTTTGAAGTAATCTTGAAACAACTTTTTTAATTCCATTGCTAAAAGTTCATTAGTAATCTGATTTCAGGTCAGATTATTTTCTGGACATCTTCAAGTAGGATGGGAGAGAGTCTCTGAATTTGTGTAGTTTATAGGACCCACTCTACTGATTCACAGTAACCGTCATCATGTTGATCATTGTCATCATCAGATGATCATTTGCCATTTGTAGAAGAATTACAGCCTCCTTTCTAGGTTTATATCAGAAGATACAGGTTTGCTCTTTAAGAAGCCATACCTCTTTGCCCCTGGAGCATTAGGACAGTAAATGAGATCCTTTGTTCTAAAGCAAGAAGCAGGTAGTGATGACATGCTTGGAAATTCTGGTTTCAAATGTGTGTGATTTTACTTAATTTCTGTAATTCTTGTGGAATAGATATCCATTTGGAGCAACAGGAACCTGCTTGCTTAAAATAGAATAAGATAAACAGAATAGATTTACTTTGATTCCCAAACAAGACATTGTTTATAGGTGTGATTTTTACGTAAGATTATGTGAAGATGAACAGAAGTAGTTATTTGTATTATAAGCATTTATTATGGCATTGCTGTATAGTTATTATGAATAAATAAGCTCATGATAGGAAGGAATAAAAATAAAATAGTGGGATTCAGAGTTGATTTATTTCTCTGTCCTCTCAGACTGTGCAAGCTTGATGAAGAAATGCGTACAGTGTCGGGCAGTGGTTGAGCGAAGAGTGCCTTTCATAATGTGCTGCGGAGGGAAAGGTACAGAAGATACCACTGATGATATTTGTGAGTGACTCCAAAACCCATTCTCTTTCACATTCCCCCACCAGCTTCGTACTCTTTTAAATGACCTAAATTTTTTCTCTCCTTTTTAAAGAAAAGTTTAATAAAAACAGTATTAAGCCAGTGTGCTGTTTGCGCTGCTTTCTACATTGGTAGCAGCAGATGCAATGGTAACACTAGTCACTACATTAAAACGATTCCTTGCAGCTGAAACGTATAACTCTTGGATGCTTATTAATGAAGGAAAAACTGAAAATAGTCAGTAGTTTTCCAAGTGAGCAAATAAATGTATCTTTTTTACTTCTGGAACTCTCTTAATTGATAAAGGAATAGTAAATATTTTGCATCTAGGTACAAGCAACTTTCATGACAGATTGTTCAGTTTTACATCTCCTGCTTTGACTAGGTTTTTAAATTTCCTGTGACATCTCTCAATTTCTATTTATTCTGTATGTGTGGTATGCAGTGTTTGAATTGAGTTTATGTGAATTGGAATATTAGATCATTCTTGTCATACTGTTCCTAGATAAAGATAAGAATAATCTTTTAAATCAGGTTTTTAATACACAGAAATTTAAAATTTATAATTTGAAATACTTATTTCTCTTGTCTTAGAGTAGCATTGCTTTCCGGATCAGTCAAATATAGGGATATTGACTTGAGCTTGTTTGAATTTTGAACAAACTACTTCTGAGACACTTGTGCAATTCCCCAAAGAGAATTAGCTATGTAGATAAGAAGTCTTTTCAGTGTGAAAGGTTTGGCTTTATTTTTGACATGCAAAGAAATTTATTCCAAGAACTTCCCTGAGAGATAAGAACTCTGAGAACATTAAGGGGCTACAGGCATGTTGAGCATCATTATTGAGGCAATACTTGTCAAAAAATTGTGGCTGTTAAATGCAAAGAAGTTCTCTATGAATTGAGCTGCAGTGATGTCACAGGGAATTTAATTAGATTATCAAATATGTTTGAGTAACATTACTTCAGATAATGGACAAACTGTAGTCAGTACACTGGAAATTGTTATTCCTGTTTCACTGGATTGATGCATAATCACATATCTTTATTTTGTCTAAATTACAGCAAGTGGAAACATTCCAGTTTTGCAGAAAGACAAAGACAACACCAATGTCAATGCAGATGTACAGAAGCTGCAACAACAGTTACAGGACATCAAGGAACAGGTAAAGGTCCTGGATACAAATTTTATTGACCCCTGAAATAACTGAAAAGGCCAATGCATTTTCTGTTATTTAAACCAGAATAACGTGTTGAAGTGCTTCAGTTTTAACTAAATAACCAATAACTTTTGTGTGTGATGTGGCTTGTATGTCTTCTATATACAGGTTAAAAAAAAAATAATCGAGAGGCCATGTTTGATAATCCATCTATTAGAGCATTTGTGTTGGTGTGACTAAAGAAGGATGCCTTGCCTGTTTAGGTGACATGAACAGTAATGAAAGCAGAAGGTTTTCAGTATCAGTCTCTATCTGGATTCAGTGTAGTAGTCCGCTTTATTCTGTGTGCTAGTACATTGCACACATAAAGCTGTTTGTATTATTTGTTCCCTGGAAGATTATGTGACATAAAGGGAAATGTTTCTGAAGCACATCTTAATGTTGCAATCTTGGGTAGTGATACTGAAAATGTGATGTCAGCTTAGTACTGGATTGTCTTACTTAAATCACATTTGGAAAAAAAGCTACTTGTTTTTTGTGTCATGGTGGGGTAGGAAGGTCTACACACTTTAAATCCATATGAAGTAAAAATATTATTTAAAAAATATTAAGCTTTCAGGTTAGTCTCTGGGTTATGCTATAGCAGTGATCTGCTATGCTTAAGATTTATTTATTGTTAAATTTCCTAATATATATGTTGCATATTTCGTATTGCATCGCTACTGCCATTGACTGTGTAACCTGTCGAAATCTTTCACAGACTATGTGTCCTGTTTGTCTGGACCGTCTGAAGAATATGATCTTTCTCTGTGGCCATGGAACATGTCAGCTTTGTGGAGACCGAATGAGTGAATGCCCCATATGCCGCAAGGCAATTGAACGAAGAATCCTTTTGTATTAAGTAGCGGAACCAGTGTATTTTATTGGCTTATGAAATTGTAAGGACATTTTGATGGTTTAAATCTGTAAGTTTGAAAGGTAGTAAAGGGTTTTAATGAAAACATTTCTAATACTGTAGCACAGATTCATTACATGGTAATTGTTTAAAGACTGTGAACACACCAAACAAGAGAACAGTATTTGAACTTTACTCTTAAAAACCATCTAAGCCTGAAACTAATTTAAAGCAATCTTTTGGGGGTTTTGTTTTGTTTCTTTCTTTCTGTTGCTTCCTTCTTAAATCTTAAAGGAACAATCTTATTTTGGTTTCGTTCAGGGTTTGGTTTTTTTTTTTATGTATGCATCAGGTGCAAGTGATGTAAAGGTTTTGGGGGTTGGTGCTTTTTTTATTGTTTTTTTTTGTTTGTTTTTATTGTCAGTTAATATCAAATATAAATATTTAGGGTTTTTTTGTTTAATGCTTTTCTGGAGAACTTTGACATTTTTTGTGACATTTATGATTCACAATAATTTCTGTCTTGAAATATACAATATTGCAAAATCAATACTAAGTGTATACACAAGAGTAATAAATATAATAGTCCCATAAGATCAGGTCTCAAAATACAATGCTAAGGTAATTCTTACTTTATCGTGCCCTTCATTGCTGAGGATGGGTTGGGAAGGAAACAGTAAAAAGAAAAAAAACTAGTTTAGAAACATTATGTTCCCAAAAGTGCACTTTAGTCTGTCAGGTTCAAGCTAATTTAAATAGTCAACTTCTTAATTCTGCTAGCCACATAATTTTGTATGGAATTACTTTTTACTTAACTGAAAAGGAAAATATTTGCGCAACTGGTTAGTTATCCGTTTCAGATGAGTGAATTTGATCAGTTGTAAAGGAACACGTATACGTATGCAGGGCCATTTAAAAACTGTGGGTTTAAGAATTAGGAAAAGTTAGAGATTTTTGCAAGATTTCCTTGCTTAAATTAGTTTTATTATCTCCAGGCAGACAGTGTCAACAGCAAAAGAGAAGATTTAACTTTGCTTATTCATCTGAGCAGGGTGTTAATACCAGAACGTACCTGTGAACATTACTGGGTCATACTGCAAATGAAGATGTTGTTGACAGAGCAGTGGATTTTGTGAGCCATGCTTAGGTGAGTTGAAGTTGGCTTAAGGAGTTAGCTGTCACTGATGTGAGAAATAGATGTTCTCGACCCCAAAAATGATACTGTCACAAGCTGCAAACTGTTAACAATTTGATAACAAGTACATCCTTCTGTCTTTTTTGAATGGAAGAATGTATGCCGATTTAATGATCGTGTAGCTAAAAGGAATGTGTTCTTACTCCTAAGTGATTTGGCAGATTTTTGAGTACATGGTTTATGTAGCCCTTTGCTATTGTGCGTTTAGATGTGCTCTTGCAGAACAAGAAGGAAATCCATACTGGAGTCACTTAGGTGCCTTACTTGCAACTAAGATTAATTTCTTATTTAATTCTAATTGTATATGTCAAAAATGTGAAAAAGGAATCGTTTGGGAAAAGGTCCAAGTAAGGATGAAGGCATAAAACTGTGATCTCTACAGATAAATCAACCTCAGTCTTTTGAAGCTTATGTTGATATGCCTGAATTGTGCAAACATTGGCAAAAGTCTCAGAAGAATGCTGCTAGTAAACTGTAGAGACAGGTGAACTCTTAACCAGTAAGGTTTAAATACTGAATAGAGTTTTCCAGGAAACAGCTACAGTGATACATTTTTCCAATGTATGTAGAGTGACTTTTAACATAGCAAAGTGATGGAATATGTAGCCTTTCTATAGCCTTCTTTAAACCCGATCTGGAATTGCAAATGTTCATCATTCACTGGACACAATCTGAACCTGGATTCAATATAGTAGTCTGCTTTATTCTGTATACTAGTAGTCATCTGTTCTCAGATAATCTGTCTGTCATCTTGGCCAAATGAAATAGCCCTCCCTTTTCTTGCTTTTTGGTTCCCTATTCTAAAATACCAAAATTTTGAGGAGCTTTGGAAAGTTTTTTGATATAAGGCTGGTTTTTAGTTCAGCATTTCACTGTCTCCACTTAAGTTCTGAGTGCACCTGAGTCTTCACTGCCATTTTCATTTGGCCAATATGCATGTCACAAAGTCTGACCTTTTTTGTGGCATGTTTGGCAGCTGAGCTTTCTGTAGTAGGCTTTGGTTTCCTGTCAGTCTTCTCCTAAAAATAATTCTTTAATAGGCTGTGCCATTTGACAGTCCATTCCGAGTTTTAGTTTGTAAGCATGAGATCTTTATCTGGGTTTCCTCTGGTTCTGGTAGACATGTTTGGAGTATTGTGTCCTGTTTATTCTTCAAGGGGACCTCTATAAACTGTTGTCAGCCCAAAGACAGGGTGGATTTCTTCTTGATAACACAGCTCAAAACTGAAACCTCAATATAGCAGTTGCGATCTTCCTAATTCTTTTTCACTGGAACAAGCCAAAACTACTTGAAAGTATTCCAGCTTAGCATCAATTGAATAATTCAGCTGAGTAAGAATTGATGATGTCCAGCATCCTGGATGGGAAACTGGAGTTGAATGTTAAATACTCCTTGTCTGCAGGAGGCATATATTGTAGCATAGATAGGTAAGTGCTCTGTTTGGCTTGTATTTTTCAACAGAGAAGCTGCAAGTTACTTATAACACTCCTAATACGTGGGTACCATTACAGTCCTGTGGGAGTAGAGACAATGACCAAGGGTATTGCTATAGGAGGAGCTTTAGTCTTCTATACTGTGGTGACACTAGATGTATGTGACTGCATGCAAGTTTGTGATTGGACTCATTCAACAATGTTGTGTGCCAGTTGAAATTCAAGTATGTCAACTTAATGGTACCAAGAGAAACAGCTGAATTAGAAAAACTAGGTGAGCTAACCAAGATGCTTGAATTACTAATACAGCCATCTTATTAGTAGGTGGAAGAGCTGTGTCTTATATTGGGAAGGTTATACAGTGCTTGCCTTTCAGAACACTTACTGAGGAAAAATATTTGTAAATCTATATAGTTTATGGAAGTAGATATTTAGATTCACACACTGTGTTTGGATTCTGACGTAGAAGGTGAACTAGTGTGTTGAGGAAACTATTAAGCTCATTCAATTTAGCCTGGCATCGTCTGTGCAACTTGCACAGAGTGCAGTTTAGTTGTATAACAAGCAGTCAAAGGATGAAAAACAGAAGCAGCTCAGCTGCAAGCCAGAGGGGTAATAACAAGTAGGGGAGTTAAGCTATGTCATTGAGCCACTGTATTCAGCAAAAGCTGAAAGTGTAAATCTCATTATTATGTAAAGCCTGCAAGCTTTGTTTATTACTATTATCTCCCAGTACTTACTAGCAGTTTGTTTCTTGAAACCATCAAGAAGGTATATAATAATACATATTTTTCAGGTGTGAGGTATGCTCAGATGTTTGGTTTGGGATTTTTTTCATTTAGTGAAGTACGTAAACAGTCACATCACTACACAGTGATTTAAAGTATGAAGGCTACCTTAGAGGCTATCAGGATATGGTAAATAGCTGTAGCTTGTTCACTTCTGTATAACTATATTTGACATTTTTTCCCAAAACCAACTGGCTATCACTTACTATACCCCAAGCTCATATGGCACTTCTCAAAATTTGGGCTATTATTACCTACTTCCCATTTGTTGAAATACTGTGCACTTGCATTTTGGAGTTTGGACAAATCCCATTTTGCTGGAGTAGATACTGAAAATTACTCTGTCAAGAGAATAAACAAGTTTATTTGTAAATATCAAAGTTTGAGGAGGTGTTGTTCTTAACTTGGACTGAGTGAGGATATGGCAGATTTGCACAAGTACTTGTGCCTTGTTAGCGTAGTCTTACAATTGGTATTTTAGCCTCTTACAAAGACATGAAATGGTCTTTTAAAAATAATCTAAGTACTTATTGTATAGATATTTTCTAGAGATGGGAGTTTTCTGTATGCCTAATTATTTTTAGCAGTATTAATTGCAGTTTGTGTAAACACTAAATTGTTTGAAGAAGCTGCTTTGAGCTAGTGATCTAAGCTTCCTCTGCAAATTAAATGTCAGAAACTTCATTTTACTCTTTTGGTAGCAGCTGGTGAAGAGCCTGTCCTGTTCTTTGTGCTGCATGGGTCAAGTTTTCACTTAAAAAAAAAACCAACAACACTACAGCCTAACTTTTAGCAGTGCTACCTCCTTTCTGTCGAAGTACTGAATTCTTCTCTAATCGGTCTGTGTCTTTGGGAAGGGATGGCAAAACACATCAGTTTTGGTTTGCTTCATCAGTTTCAATGTCTGAATACAGTGAAGGTTTGTTGTTTTGTTTTTTTTTTAGTGACTATAAACTTCGCACGATGGAAGTGTGTGATTTGCCACAATGTACATTGTATTTCATTCTTGTGTAAGTTTCTGGAATTTGTATTATTGTATTTTTACATATTCTGTAATTTGTGTTGACAAAGAAAAACTGTTAACTGCAGAAGTGTTAGTGTGTGCCATTTTTATAGCTAAACCTGTGGTAAATATGAAAGTTCTGACTCAGGGCTTTTTAACAGCTTAAAAGTTCAGAATATCCTTCAGCCCATCTTGGAGAACGTCAGAGATTTAATGACTGTACAGTGCCTTGAATAGAACTATTGAATGGGCAGCAGCCATAGAGTCCTTACAGAATGCAAGTATCTTTCGAATGCAGTTAGTTGATAATATAATTGTAATAACTCTGCCATGGATTTATAAACTTGTATATACTTTCTCTAAAGGAAAACTGGCAAGCTTGGGTATTGTTAAGCTTTCTGAAAGTTGTTTGTTGCACCAGTCATGGGAGCCTGAAGGGCATAGTCAGTTTTACAGAAGCAGTATTTGTGGCAGACAGCTGATAAAATATTCTGTATATGACATTTTTAGTGTGAGGGGGGAGGTCATTGTATAAGCAAACATGTAAAAACACCTGCTTTGCTCTGGCCCAGTAAGTCTTTGTAAGGGGGAGAGAAATAATTGCAACAAATCTGTATATTTGCATGCCATTTCATAGTTACAAAAGTTTTAAGTCTCATCTCTGAGCTTCTAAGAAGTACTTTTTGTCCCAAGCTTTAGTGTCCTTACGAATGCAGACTGTTCATATTAGGGAAGAGGTTTGATTGAACCACAGGAACATTTTTGCTTTTGTTAAAAACAACTTTGTATTTTCAGTAAATTGTAGATTTTGACTTTACTGTTTATTGGAAAAAATTAAGGTTGTCTGTGTGAATGTAGTGGATTTCTGTATGCAGATAGCATTATATAATTGCTTTCATGAAAACTGCTTAGCAAGGTCTAAGCTTTTCAAAGAAAATGCTAATGTACTGTATGGTTAATAAAACATTATATGTGATGTATACTGACTTTTTCAAAAGCTTTGATTTAAAAGTGTAATTGGACTGAATTGATACTGGTTTTTGTGTACGCATCATTGGGAAGGGAGCTGTGGCTTGTTTGACTTCCTCCTCCTTAGCTGTAATGATGTCTGATGTCACCACAGAATTAGAAGATCATGTACCTGAAGCAAATGTTTGGTAAGCGTGTTAGTTCCTGACATACAGTGTTCAAAAGCACACCAGAATTTGTTTATTGAGAAAGTTTGCATTCCAAACTTCAAAAAAACCTCTGGTTCTTTATAATGTGTCCCTGAAAAGTGAGTTTGTAGCAACATCAGAAATTCTACGTGCCTTTGAATCTCCCAGGTACTCAGGTATTGTCTAAGCAGCCGTGTAGAAGTATGGGAAGTGGATTATGTTGTAACAACAAAAAGATTGATTTAAAATTTTCATCTGTAGTGTAGATTGCATTTTTTATGCAATTATGCAGTTCATAATAGTGATTGGAGCTGCTGTTTTTATTAGACTCCTGGTTTACTTATAATTGAATAGCCTTTACAGATCTGGCTATGAGAATGTGATCATCTGAAAATCTCCTGCCGGATGCAGTAACTTCTATATTCTGAGACAACAGTTGCTGCATCATTATTTATGCTTTTAGAATTAATTTTAATGGATGCATTAAAAATATGTATCTATGTAATGAAAGGAAACAAAACAAACCAGACTTTAATGGCTTAGTGTTTTAATTTATCATAGTGTACAGGTGAAAAATGAATTGACAGAATAAAAAGTTTGTTGCTCTCCTCTGTTTCTTTTCATTTTTCAAGATTTCTTCAGCTTTTGTTTATATGATACTTCGATATGAAAACATATTTTCAGATACCCTTTTATGTTCTATTTAAAAACAATTGATGCAAATTGGCAAATACATTATAAGTAGCCGCATGATCTTTGCTTTGAGACTTACAAGCTGTTACACACCTCTCCATACCTGTTCATTGAAAGTGATGGGGAGCAGCATTGGCGTAAGTTTAAGACTTGGTCTCTGTGAGCTATGGGGTTTCAGCCCCTACTGGTGGTTACAGTGAAAACTGCTGGTTTTGCTAGTATTTGATATTGAAGTTTTCAGATTTTGAGAAAGCTGCTTCATACTGTACAATGAAATTAATATAATATTTTATTTTGTAATTAATTTCTGTAGAATGCACTTTCCTGTTCTAGCTAATCCCAGCTGTATCCACTATGCAGCCCTCCATTTGGACAATGATGATGAAATTCCCTGAAGATTTATTTTGGGTGTGACATTTAATTAAGGGCAGAGGGTGGTTCTTCATGGGTATACTCTTGTATTTTAGGGAAGAAAAATTAGTAGTAGTATTTCAATAAAAAGCTATAGCCTTCCTTTTTCTAATATGGAAAGGGGGGTTCAGTTAGAAACAGTATCATTGAAGATCTTGTTCTTGGGCTTTGTGCAGCCCTATTAAAGTCAACAAAGTAGCATGAATTGGAAAGCTTTGACTTGAAAGAATGAAGCCTAGCAACTGTTCTTAATACCTGAGAAGGTTTTGGCTGAAAAATATTTTAGGAATTTAAATATTTTGTTCCCTTTGCAGTAATGAGAGTAGGATGTCCAGGCTCTCTAGTGGTTAATAAGGTTGTGTTTTTAAAAGCAGTCTTTACAGAGTGATGCTATGATGAATTGCTAGTTGGTAATATATAAACGTTATTCTGCAACAATGCACATTTTCAACTTACAGGAAACTTAGTACAAAATCTATTTCTTACAGTTAGGATTCGTTGATGCTTAACTGCCCTAAAGAAGATAGTAAAAACCTCAATTTCTGCAAAATTTACTAAAATTAGGAAAATATACTTGTGAGACTATACTGACCCCTTGCAACATTATATAACAGCATTTCACTGAGTTTTCCTTAAAAATAAATCTGCAGGAGGTACGTAGGCAAACTTAAGTCTGAGCCCATTTCCCCAGTGACCCATGTGCGTCCTGTGATGCATGAGTATTTCTTCCACACGGGGTCAGTAGCACCCTCCGTTTGTGACAAGGGTTTTTGTACTATAAGCACAAAGCAAACAAGGGATAAGAATAATGATGATTGCATTAATATGTGGGTGGACCAGACCTCACTTGTCCCCTTCTTCAAGCAGGCTAAGTATAATTAGCTTATTTGCTGACTTCAGTAAGTACCATATTCTATCCTCTGACTCTCATGTGACATGAACATTGCTACTATTGATTAGGGCAAAGTTCCAGTGGAGTGTTTACCTTTAGGCTCTAGTTGAAAGTATTCATTTAGTCTAGCTCTTTTTCAAAAGCATGCAGTTGGAGCAGATAAACTGTATGAGACAGCTTGTCCAGCAGGCAGGGGGAAAGAATTCTTGTAAGTGTCCCACATATTCTTAATGATAACCACAGTCTCCCTAGATGGCTAGAGCTGATTAATATTTTTCACCCTATAGTAACACAGCTTCTAGTTAAATATACTTTGAAGCCTATCAGCCTGCTCAGTGGAAGGAATGTCCAGCTTCTCAAGGCTTCCTGGAGTATGCAAGTTTCTTGGAGACAGAAGTTTGAAGTAACTCATTATCTTTCTACCAAGAGGCTGAACAGACCAGACAGCTATTCCCTAGAAAGAAATTTCCAGCCCTTGTACCAAAACCATGTTTTACAAATGGGAATCTAAGATGTTACTGTCATTCAGGTTGGCACAGGTTCTTCCTTAAAACTTCTGAATTAACAAGGGACCTTCCTTACCTTGATGTTTGCAACTCTTGTTATTCTCTGTTTCGCATCTGTTATGTTTCTGTGTTTCATGTCTTCAGTGCTTTTATCCCCCAGTACTCAAGGCCTTCATTTCAGTTCTTTGTGTCTCTTCTTTGGTATCAGAACTGTGTCCCTTCCTTCTTGATCTGCCCCTTCGCAATGTAGTTTCTCCATTACACTGAGTCATTGTCACAGAGCTTTGGCATAAGCACAGTCGGACCGTGTCCTTGTGTTTGCCTCCACTCTTAATAGCATTTACTGATGTGAGGGATTCCTGAATTCAGTCATAGGAAAATTTCGTATGAAGTTATAGACCTCTCTTATTTCTGTGCATTGGCAGCGTAAGAAAGAAGCTTTGGCTACCACCTGGGGAAGGAGGAAGGGTGCTTCTTTTTGGTCTTTGGGCAAGTGTTCTCAATCATATGGGCAAAATCAGGAACAAAATATTTCATGGTTGGTTGGTTTTGGTTTTGTGGGTATTTTTGGTTGGTTGGTTGGCTGTTTTTCTCCCTGTCATGGTCACTCCACACCAAATGTCCTTGGAGTAACAGGTCCTGTAACATGTCCTGTAACTACTCCATGGGTGGAGAGGGAAGGTGGGTGAGTTACAAGCCAGTCCCTGATGCAGAAGTTACAGATCTGTGGTTCTACCTAATACAGTTCTCTTCCCATGATGCACACGGAGGATCTGAACGGCTAAGTGATTGTGACTTGGATTTACTGTGAACTGTATCTGACTGCAAACAGACAGTGGTGTAAAAAAGCTACTGCAGATCAACTGCTCAGTACTGAGCAGTGTGAGGCGCTTGCCTTGCAGCAGGCAGTAGTTGGAGGCCACTTACACTTCTAAAGTGTTGCAGCCAATTAGGGTTGAGTGGGCCAAGCCTTCTGGGAATCAACTTGTCCTGAGCTGACATTGCTCTGTTGGTAAGTAACATGGAAATGAATCCAATATGAAAAGCATATCTTCATTAACAAGGCTGGGATACCAGACATTTAATTTTAGGCTTTATTTGCTATGATGAATCAAATGGTGACACCAAGATTTGGCAAGCCCTTGTTGAGCACTCCAGGAAGAGTAAGTCATTGGCTGACTTCATAGTTTTGCTTTTGCAGGTGTTTCTCAACTTTGAGGAGGTAGTCAAATAGTATTCAGAGAAGAAAAAAGTCTGGACAGGAGGATTTAACGGGAGAAGTGTTTTTATTTCTTTTTTCCCCCTATCACCCTGTTCTGGATGGGAGCTGTGTCTAGCTTTCACTTCCTGTGCCAGTTTCCATTTGGCAAAAAAATGCTGCCATAATTACTACTTGCTGGCTGGATTAGCTGGAAGCAAACATATCCCATGTGTGTCTGTCCCATCTGTTTGCCACCGCCACCCTACTTCTCCCCAGAATGTCCTTTCACAGGGCATGAGGGTGCACTTGTGGGCCTGTAAGTGTTATCCTCTTAGCTTTGCCGGACAAGGAAAGGCCTTTATTCTCTAATGTTGATTTGGTCTGGCCTTTTTCTTTCTGTCCGTCTTCAATTATCAAATGCAGGACTGACTTACCCTTTTCAGATGGCATGTCATTTTGAGATGAAATCAAAGGGAGCATCACTGGAATTTTTGGATTTGGCTTGTCCTTTCCTACAAAATTAAGCCTGATTTATCAGGTCCAGATGTTTAACCATTAAGCTAGCCAGCTTGCATGCTCACAGGAGTATTAATAGAGATGGCTGGGGTCTGGCAGGTTTTTCTAGGGAAGATAGATAAAGTCTTGGCATATCCTAGGTTACGCTCTTCTGTGTCATGGCCAAATGCTAAGTTGGGCAGTGCTGTGTGAGCTGCAGTGTTACACCTTTGCTTGAAGGGTAGGTATGGCTTAAGAGGTCTTCATGGCACAATGCCATGCAAGTACTATCGGGCGCTGAAAGCAGAGGTGCAGTCATCCATGATAACACAATATTCATTAGTACATCTGGGCTTTCATGAAGGGTAGCCTGAGAAGAGGTCAGTAGTACCGCTTGCATGACTTTCCACATGGGAACCTGGATGTGGACCACTGCATGGTGCAAGTAACCCAAACTAGAGAGAGGTTGCTAAGCAGCTGTGTGTTTCCTTGCACTGGTCATCAGTGGATTAGAAACAAAGAGTATCTAAAAGGCACCAACTTTCAGTGTTTGAGTGAAAGTGACCCTCCCCACCACCCTTCAATAATTTTGATATGGAAAGAACATCTGAGGTAAGAAAGGAAGCTAACAAGCCTGCCTTATTTTGCTATGAACTGTGTATATGCAGCACTGAAGGTAGCTGTGAGTCTGGGCAGGCAAAGAAAAATAAGGGGGGTGGGAGGTGAGAGAAGTCTTTAATGACAGGTTATTGATGGAATTTCTAACCCAGAGAAGAATGCCTGCCTTGGAGCTGAGGTGGGTAGTGTTAACCACAGCAACTGCTTGCTTATGCACGGTTCATTTTCATTTCATTGTTCAGGTCAAAGATAAGCTGGTGGCTCTGTTAAGTGTGGTGACTAGCTGGGAAGAGCAGCACGGTTCTGCTGAGCAGGACTCTTGCTGGGCACGGCTGCCAAAACTGGAGCAAGCTGAGGGAGAGCAGTTTGTCAGGACAACTGTGGTCTGACACAGCTTTCTTATCAAAGGAAGGTTTTTTCACTTCGGGAGGAAGTTTAGCTGGGAGTGTTGGATAACTTTTTTTCAGCTCTGGGGGAAGTCCTGTATAAATGCCTTTTCCATTAATGTAATAGTCCTGCTTCTGACCCTCCTCTGGAGAGAACGTCAGTGGCTGTAGATGCGGGAAGTAAAGTTGACTAAAACGCTTTTAATTGGACTAGGTCAGCAAACATACCTTGCATGCTCACAGCCAGGAGCTACTTGGTCTTGGCTCGTGCCACAGGGCAGGCAAAAAGTAGTTCTCTTTTCTTTCTTTTTTTTTTTTTCTTTTAATTCCAATATTTCTAACTTTCCCCTTTATCCTTTCCAAGCCACTGGGTTGTAGTTGAATTAAAACGTAGCCTTTTCTTCTG